ATACCAAAACTACTCAACGGTTAGAGCTTAATTTGATTTCTTTAAAAAAGCTGAATTAAATTTTATTTTGCTTTGTTCTAACACTATATATGTGTTACCTGGGAAAAATTAACTGATAACAACTGTTATTAAAATGATATACAGTTTATCGAAACGGGTCATATTCATGAGTGAATATTATGTCGCTCGACTTATCAGCAGACAAGCCAACTAGCGCAAAACCAGACAATGGCTGTGACTGTAACTACATTATATACATATATAGCTATTACCTATGTAACAATTAAAACTCAAACCATATAAATGTATTTAAATCAGAAATTCCTTCATAGGAAACCGAAGCCAATAAACAAAACAATTTTCAATTTATTGTTATGACTAACATGTTTCTAATGAATTGTGAGCTGTAAACGGGTGAATGCACAACATCAAACGGTACATTTCCAATTAGAAAACATTGATTTGAATGTTTACTTATCCCTATTCAATTTCCGGTAACGTCATAGTGTCGGTTCGAATGAATGGATCTTAAATATGTATAATGAAGACTAAAATGAAAACATTCACATTTATCTAATTTCTACTCACGTGTTTCAAATTAAAACGTGTCGTGCCGAGATTTATCTCTCACAAGGGTTAAAGCCGCGTCAGTCAACGTGAGGTGTCTGTCAGATCGATTTACACAAAACTAAGCGCAAGCAAGCTGTGTAGCACAACCAATAAAACCTCGTTTAAATGAACCCAGCACGGCTCCGAACGATTCCAATTTCATCAACATCGTTCAAAACGCCAAACTCTATAACTGCTCATATTTAAATGCTGAACAATTTGAAAGCAACAATAAAAGCTGTATGATAAATGATGACGGTGCACAGAAGAGTAAATGAAAAGATCATACAAAGATTAAAACGTGATTTGTAGTTGTAATTGTTCTGTTGTTTCCGTTACTTGTATGCGGTTTAAATGGTACATTATAGGTATGATTAATGTATCTTAATAAACACATTTGGAAAGGTATTTAATATTTCTCTATAGCTGCAATAGATATCAACATGAGAAATAAATAAAAATAACAATTTAAATTTGAAAAAAGTTCTTTAATTAAACAGTCGTTTATTATATTTACGCAAAGATTTCATCGTCATCGACCTATCAGAGCCCACTGCTGACCAAAGGCTTCTTCTCACATTGAGAAGGTAACCAAAGATTTATAAGAATATATATTTAAGTTATCATTTACACAAACACATTAGTACAGACATAGGTGCCATTTGAGTCTTTAATAAATATCTTACAAAGCATTACAGAATGACGCCTTCGTCACTTTCATCTCGTCTTCCCGTGCTCACAGTTGGTGAAAAGTGAATGAAACATTAGTTAAATAATAATTAAAACATTAAAAGAGTTGCATCAGGAATTTTTTTTAGTAATTAATATATACTTTACTAAACAACTAAAGCTGCGCCTCAAAAACTCCAAATTATATTTGCATATTTCTTTTCTTAAATAATATAATATGAGATGAAATAGTAATAATAAAATTACATTTACATTTAGCTTAAAACCGATATCATTAAAATATAATCCATATATGGTCTCGTTAGTCTAGTTTGAGCTTCGAGCAAAATGTTAAGGTAATTATTTCAATATTTATACATTCATAAAGCTTATCTTGACAAATAGCAGCTGATTTGTGTTATCGAAATAAATAACGGTCACAAAGTACACGGGGTTTAAATCTGTGTAACGGTATCAAATACCAAATAACAGTTCATTGTAAATAGGTTCATTTTAGGGTGCGATAAGATCGAAATCCATTGAGGTGAGAGCTGTCAGATTAATCACCTTAGCTTTGTAATATGAAACCACACATCATGGCTATGCGACTATTGTTATATCTGGACTTTGTGCGCCTAGATATTGTTTCTAAGGTCCATTATAGATGCAGAATATTCCATTCAAACAAATAATCTCCATGGAAATCAAATGCAATCTATTCTAATCATATAAATAATAAAAAATTATTGTATTTTATTTTGATAAATGAACAATGTATAAAGGATGTATGAGGTAAACTTTTATAATATAAGATTACTTGTTAAGTTATTGACCAATTTCAGTCTTACTCTTTATTTAAACTTTACAGTATATACAAATATATTGGACCCAAAATAATGGTTTTTAGAATAAATACCAGAAACTGTCACATAACAATGTGTACGAACATGTATATATATATATATACATGTATGTGTGTGTATATATATATGTAGTTTGAAACAAAGACATGATTTAGTCCTATGGATCAGTATCATTGTATGTTTGTCCGTCATTACTAAGCCACCAGTCGATGTAGTACGGTGACGTGTTCTAATCTCCGAAAATTACTGACCCTGACAATAGCGTTCTCCCCTCAGACAGATTCAGCGTCACCATACAGGGGCTTAAAGATTTAAATATAGATTATATAACTACTTTACTGATTAAATACTCCACATATTAGAAATAAAAAAGTCCTCTAAAAGACTATTGCATATAAACTTTGATATTATTTCAAAAAATGTATTAATGCATGCTCAAGTATCATTTACATAACGACCAGGTAATACCAGAAAAATAAACGAGTGTTTTTTTTAATAGAAATGTCAATACCTATTAGGTAGCGATAACATTATAATAAAACTACGAAACATCGTTTATAGTTCGATTATACTAGGTCGTTTATGGCTTAATTTAGCCGACGACGCAAGCTCTGAGTCAATTACCTGCGCCGGCGCACGAATCCGGTTTGCAGAGATACCCCCCCCCCCTCAACCCTCCCCCCAACTGACAACTGGAACTGATCGGGCATTGAAACCTTTTGCTCCCACCGACTTCTTACAAACGGAATCCTTAACGAATTCCTTATTGTTACACAGATAAAAGAAACTTCGTCTTGAATAAAACTCGCTAAATGTATTGTTGTATGAAAATAGTAAAGCAGATGTGTATATTTTCGATAAATAAATAAACTACTTGAAATTAGTAACGAAATTTTCATCTTAGTATAAGTTTTTAAAAGATTTTTAATTTCAATTTAATCATAATCCAACAAAGGTAATAAAGTAATTGGAGCGGAGATAAAATATGATATCGAGCTTATGAATCCAGGAAAGATATTTTAATATGGTGAGTTTTTTGTGCCGACGCTGACGCTACAGCCTGAAGAATGCTTGTTACTTGCTAATGATGGCAAATTGTCCCCGTCTCGCCTATAGATGTCCAAAAAGAATTCGGCCTGGCTATTCGTAGCTTTAAATTAAATATTACACAGACATGAAAATGCTATTAATGTCTCTTAATAAATTAGTTTCATCAATTCACAGAAGTGACTACAAAAAGTTTCTTACATAAATAATTATATAATTTTAATTTCTGTGGCTTATATTCTCCGGTCTTCCCTTTTAAAATTGTGATTTAATGCTATAAAATTATTCTACTCGGATATAATATTTGAAACAAACATTTATAATTAAAATTTATTACATTTCTTAATATTTTAATTAGGATTTAATTGGTACTTTAGAATTGTTTATTATTTTGTGAATTATGCCAACAAAGTGGGTTTTGTAAATAGATGTTGGTATATGTACACGCGATGGCCTCCCGCGGAGAGCAAACAAAATAAGAGCAAGACAAGTCTGCGTGTGATAACATCATGTTTTTACGATTCATTGTTTTGCCATTTTTTTCTCTCTCCAGTTTATTTAAGAACACTATGTAGTTTTTTAGTCACAGCTGTACGAAGTTGGATAGATGTTATGATCTTTATTACTCAAGAAGCTGAATATGATCATGTTTTATGAATTTTATTTTTGAGGACCAGTCAATAGATATATTTTACATAAATCTTATAAGGAAAGAAAGTAATCGTTTATTTAGTTCATGAATATTATGTAATAACTATGTTTTTGGTTGTTTTAGCTCAAAAATAAGTTTGGTGGAATATCCTAATATTAATTTCGTTCGTGCGGCTTCCTGCAGACATAATGCGAGCAAGTTTGCGTGTGGAACTGTTTTCCTACATAATACGATTTTACTAAAACCCATAAAATTCTTTTTTTTACAATTTACTTAGTACATTTTCTTTTTGTGAAATAATTAATGATAAATGGTTTATAAATAATAACAAAGTAAGAATCTGTTGACATGAACTGAGACTTAATTTGAACACATAAAGTTTATTAGAAAATAATTTAATTTAAAATACATTACTGCGGAAAATATTCGTAAGATTTCGTAGGACCGACAGTGTGTTTTATTTTCATTTACAATATAATTTAATCTTATCTTACTTATATCAATACATACTCTTAATACCGTCCTAGAAAGTTATGGAAACGAATGGAAAAGCTTTTTCAATATTAACAACTCTTTTCTATTTATTGCAATAATTACGTTAATAATGATAACTAATTAAAATGAGTATCTACAAAATATGTAGATAGAATATTAAAAGTTTTGTTTAATATGTTCAACGTTTCACTAGTTAATGATTCAAGCTAGACAACGCTTCCCTCGTATGGTCTCTAGGTGATAACGCTCTGTATCACTGTTTACTTATCATTGATTAAATAAATTCTCGTTAGTACTCGCTGAAGGTAAATAGTTTACTCACGATTGCGCAAGTTTAGACTGTTGAATTTCTATAAATATATATTCATTCATATATAAAGTCAGCAAAATATCTAGGCTTTTTTCGGTGCAGATATGATAAATAAATACTTTTATAAATTATTATTTTTTCTGGAGTTATATTAAATTTTATCAGTAATCACTAAATATTAATATTTATTCACAATATAATTATTTATAAGTATTTATCTATAAAAACAAAAATCTTGTATATCGCTATTTATATGGACATTTTCAGAATCTTCTAGTGGAACGACTCTTTCAAATGTTTATAACTTTTCAACTAGTTCCCACTGAGTCATAATTTAGTAACGCTTATTTCTTACCTCTGTGATGTCTAATACGATGGTGCGTCACAGGCCGACAGCAAGGCTGCTCTTGATAGGCTGTCCAGGAGTCAGCTAGTGCCGACGCCAACACAACCCATACCAGCCCCGCTGCCCACTGCCCCAGAACCCCCATTGTTGAACCTCCTAACTACCGGCACATTCACCACCACTGCTACCACTTGGTAATAAAAAGTTCATATAATCTAATTTCTGTTTATAATCGAATCATCGAAAAAATTCCAGATATCTCCAACAATGTTTACATGACGCATCTGAAACTATTCCCGGCGAGATAAAGTTTCTGTCGGAATCATGAAAGTTGAACGGACTTTTGGCAATTAATCAACAAGGTATCTGTGTACATCTAACATAAACTTGTAATCGCGGTGAGAGTTTTGTTCAGAGCACGTGATTTATTTGTTCTGAGAGTGGTAATGTCGCGATCGTCGGTACGTATCGTCTGGCGCCGGGCGTGGAGACGTGCGTCAACATCATCGCTACGACGAGAACTGAAACACTGAGCGCGCCATGGGACCGCTTTGGCACCGAAACTATATACAATGTACAGTGTGCACCGTCTGCTCGAGACAACGGCTCTGCCGAACCTCGCACTCGTCCTACAACGTGTATCCTTACGTTAGACAGGGAAAGCAAAACCAAAAGCCGTTCAAACTACAAAGCTCCGACGAATGAGGAAGCTCGCCGTTTGCTGTATTCGTTTAAGGAAAAGTTATAAGTTAAAAACTTTTGATAATTTTGCCGAATCGGTATCTTGGAATTCATGTGGGGGAGATTTGACTCCGCAATGACCCTCGTTGTCGTTACGAACATATTGTAATGAAGGGGATGCTCTTTATAAAGCGTAGTAAATTTACCTAATTTATGTTTTACGTTAGGATACGCACGAAAAAGTTTTATGTTTTTAAACACGCGAAAGGAAACAGGCAGTTTATTTCGCTATGACATATGTTTATTAATAACTAATGTAGATGGTGAGTCACGTCAAACATGTGTTAGTCCTTAATAACCACAGAGTATCTAAACAAATTGTCACAACCACAATAATGACATTGTATCACCTAATTTATCCGTAACTAGTTTTTCGCCGCGACTTCGTCCGCGTTAATTTCGTCATTAGTAATGTAGGTATAGCTGACCGGGCAAACTCTATTCCATCTTCAATAACCTGGTATTGGTATTTATTAAATTTCTACTGTTTCAATCGAACAGAATGATTGACATATTAGTTAGTTGTCAAGTTTAATGTCAAAAAATCGTTTGTATGGGAAATAGAAAAGGGCTGTTTTTAGGGTTTTCCCGGCAATTATTCAAATTTTTCTCACCTTTTATACCTTCCCTGAACCTCCACAAACATTTCAAGACTAAGATAAGATAAATCCGTTCAGCTGTTCTCGAGTTTTAGCGAGACTAAGGAACAGCAATCCATTTTTATATATATAGAAGATATCTATAATCTGGCTCGCTTAATGTTTTAAAGGCTTACAAAAAAAAATTGTTATTATTACCCTGTCGGATAAATATACTTTCAGTTTTCGATTATCAACAATATACACAAAATACCCAATACTTTAAGTAAGATGACTTTGAGTGAGGTAAAGAATGATCAGTATTATTTGAGGATTACCAACGACACTTAAATATTTAAGTACATTAAGAATTACAGACAAAAATAGAACTGCTTTATTATTATTTCTTTGTAAATATAAAAAAAACTATGTAACTTTAAATCAAAGGCAATTGCAATTGCAACAAAGCTTTTATAAGTTTACATTTTTGTTGGTGACAATCTTTATTGTACTGTTATTAAAATTTCAATTAATACAAATTTACCTACAAATGAAAGAATAAAATTACTTTTAAATAAAACCTACTTTAAAAACTACAATCCGTTAACTTTACCAAAACAGTATGGTTATAAATAATGTTATTTGAATAAACTGTAAACAAGATTAAGCTGAGTAGGGTTAGCGTTATCAATTACTCATCCTCTGAGTCTACCTCGGACCTCTGGACCTACATTAACTAACTTACTTAATAACTCTATTATAACACAACCGCCATTTGCATTATTTAATAATCAATCCATATTAATCAGGTCACCTCAGTTCAAAAATGAAGATGACGTCGTTTTTCCTTAAAAATTCACAAGATACACGTATATATACATACATATATTTGTTTAAGGAGAACTCCATTGATACATTTAAACTTTATAAACTTCGTAGCCCGTTTATAAAATGAAAGGTGCTACATCCACCGTCGCGGTAAATTTTCATCAGTTCTTCAAGTTTTTCAATAAAAACTTTCGACGACGCGATTTACATACGATATGGATTCATTCATTTCAAAAACGCTTTTTCATAGTGAAGTGATGAAGGTTTTCGGTGTATATTCAAGAGGAAAACTTGTTAGTGTAAAGATTCAACACAGATAATACCGATGCATTAATATTTATATGATTCGAAAGCAAATTCTTTTGAAACAAAATGAAAATTCTCAATATATGTAGTTCAATTTAAAAATATATTTTCTCCAATGCAATACTTAGATATATTACTATCATAATATTGCAAAGCTCTTGTATTAAGCCTTCATGAAATTGAATACTAATAATAAATATATTTGAAAACAAATAAAGCTTTATTGAAATCTTAGAATTTCATTATTCCAAAAGATATAAATGTTCAAATGCAATAACTACTACGGAATGATATTAAAGCTCGTGAAATAATGTTGCGTGTTTCTTTTATATTCTTTAGCATATACATTACCCATCCGTAGCTTGCACCGTAATTTTCCTTCGACGTTGCAGCCGTATTCGTTTTAGTGGTAGCAGTACAATAATACCAACATAAAACAAAATAGCACGCACGTAGGATCGTAAAACGCGCCATATTAACAGAGTATAAAGTTGTGTAGGCGCTTATAATACATTCAATTCGTTTTCGGTGTTTGTTGGAGCCCGGTTTCAACTGTAATTTCGGTAAAATGCAAACAATGATCAGCCGCAACACTCTTCTAATGCATTTTGTAATCCACACTAATGAACATTAGCTGCATTGTTTCAATACGGAGCTGGGGCTGCAGTTACACTAAAATACAATATTATTTTAATTCCTAAATAATGTAGACTTAATTCATTTAATGAAATTATAAAAGGTTACTGCACTAAAATATCAACCCAGTGTTATAAAATTATACCTTGGGAGAGGCCTATGTCCTGTAGTGGGCTTCTTTCGGCTGATGATGATGATGATGATGATGTTATAAAATTAAGCGATAAACATAAGACTTAATGAAACTAAATCTTCTATATCTTCTATATATATAAAAATGGATTGCTGTTCCTTAGTCTCGCTAAAACTCGAGAACGGCTGAACCGATTGGGCTAATTTTAGTCCTGAAATACTCCTGGAAGTCCAGGGAAGGTTTAAAAGGTGAGAAAAATTGGAATAATTGCCGGGAAAACCCTAAAAACAGACCTTTTCTATTTCCCATACAAACGTTTTTTTTTGACATTAGATTTGACAACTAACTAATATGTCAATCATTCTGTTTGATTGAAACAGGAAAAACCTGATTATTTATGGCCTCTAAGACGGAATAGAGTTCGCCTGGTCAGCTATACCTACCTATATTACTCTTGACCAAACTAACGCGGACGAAGTCGCGGGCAAAAACTAGTTTTTAATATATATTTAGAATTCTAGAAGTACTTATGTAAATTAAATGAGTAGCTATGAGACAGAGGCTTTATTGGACTTTACTATGATTGGACGGATGGCTATGCAAACAACGATCTAAGATGGAATTGCTTTTGCATCCATAACCTTTAACTTGAAAGCGTCTCATTTCAATTGTTTTATTCTATTTCTGACATAAGCCGTACTTTATAGAATGATTTGCATTATGTCATTGTTGCATTCAGAAACATTGCTAAATATTTTCCATATATTATTGATACGTCAATACTATTTTAAGAATCTGGATATAAATACAGTGGCATTCCGCTCGGGTCGGTTACGTTTACGTGGAGGGTAGACAGGGGTAATTGATGAAGCCGACGTGAAGCCACACGGTTAACCACCTCCGACGCCTCTGACAGCGATCTGCCTTTAACAGTTACAATAGGATTGTATATAAAAAAATAAGATACTGATAAATAACCTTTGAACAGTACAAGATAATAGCTGTAATACATTTCGCAAAATAGGTAACATAATGATATATGCATAAAAACACAAATAAAATAACCATTCAGTAATTAATGCATAATGGCTTTATCTCATTTTCCTTATAAAATGACAGGAAAAGCGGGAATTTTATATTAACAGGAAATAATAAGTGAGCATTGTCATTACTAAACTCATTAAGATACAAAAGCTCATTATGAAAGCAAATGCCCACTATTCAAATAGCAAACAAGGAAAAACTGCCGATCCAGCATCGTTTAGGCCCTATTGTTGGTCTTCTAATAATGCTTACCTACCAACGCTGTTCCCTTACTCCAATTAAAATAAATGCATTGTTAAGCTAATACTATTCAATAACCAATAACATGTATTTCATATAAATACACGCATATGAGCTTTTTGTTTGTTTTTATATTCATACTGGAATAATTAATTTCAACGAGGAAAATTCTAAAACATTTTAATAACTTGACGCAATATCTTTTTCTTTATTTTTTTTATATAATAATAGTCGTATACTATGCAACATCTAATCTTTTGTTATAAATAATGAAATTAGAGTGTAATAATTTTAATCAACAAGAACTTTACCGATTTTGATTAAATCATTTTATATAAGCCTAATATTTAATGCGAGTATTATAAAGGGATTTGAGTAGACTAACAGGGAGATGGGCTTCGTTTAACAATATTTACATGACTAATGGGCCTCAATTTTACATAAAAGTGCAAAAGCGAGTGAACTTAGGCACACCAGTGAAGTGGTCCAATTTGCATGTTTTATGCAGCGGCGAGTGATGCGGCCGTGGACTATACGCGCTCGTGTAGGCTCTTTGAAATTTTTATACGCTATTCCCACAAATCGGACATCGCTGCATTTTATGCGAACTACTCTGTTGTCCGCCTTTGAATCCTCTTTTATTCAGAACTTGTAAATAACTAAACAGTTTTATTTGTACTTGTTGAAATCAGAATATCGGCGTGATTTCAGTATAAATTATTTACATCAATACAAATACAACATAAGATTTACATTTTCATTGACGGTTTAGTTTGAACATTTGAAACAAATAACATTTTATAAAAAGTAATGGAATCATAACGCTTTATTGTTATGACACTTGAATACTATAGGCTGCGGTGTAATTTCTAGTGGTTTTTATTTTGTATCCAGTCAGAAATCGTTGGCAGGACTCAAACAACCAACTTTTAGTGAGAACGCTGAATGCAGCAGCTAAATTGCATTGCTGGTTTTATTGCGATGTGGACGTTGAAGGCCGACCTAAAATTATTGACTGTGTTATACTGACCGCACTCTATTTGTGAATAGTTTTATTTTAGAGCATTATTTATATATAGCCAATTCATCAAGTGATCAACCATATTTAATAAGATTAATAGAATAATTAATTATGGAACAAAATAAACTTATTTGTCTACTTCTATACAAAGTTTATTTGAATGAAATTATTATTACAACTTTGAAGTTTTTATTCTATAGCTTGATCCGCGGTCCGCCCTTAGCAATACCGAAATGGGTTAAGCTCGTTTGTCTTGATGAAACTAGTCTGGCTATTAATAATTCCATACATGTCGATTATATAATTATTATAGTGCGTTTGATTTAAGCTAAGCTTTGCATTTGTGTGAGTGCACACGGATAGTGTAGGTGTGATGTCAAATTTTTGAATGCAAGCTTCTTTTCTAGTTTTAAACCGGTTTATTCTGCTTTTACTCAGCCCCACACCTTTCGCACTTCACCCTTTGTACTGGTAGCAATGTCAAATGTTGAAAACGCCATGTCAACTGAAGAAGAATTTGTATAGTTTTATGAAAATTTTTGTTAATTTTTTTTTCATAATGTTTATAATATTTCTATGTGGCCTTTTACAAGTTTCGTTAATTTTCTTTTTAATCTAGAATAGCTCTCTTACTTATGTTATGTATCTATTTAAAATATAATAAAATTAAATTCTATAAGTTTTTTTTGTCTAACTCTACTATTATGTATTTTCATTCACACAAATGTAAAGCTCAGCTTAAGTCTTACGGACTATACATTATTATGTTTAACATTAAAATAATGATATAATGATAAAGATAGAATAAAAATTTAATCATAAGTACCAAATTTTATTTGTTAACATACGAATCTTTTACATACCTCAGGTAAAATATATCTTTAATGAAAGAATAATACTTTAATGACCTATAAACACATGTAAAAATAATTTATTAAAAGATTCTATTCCAAATCAATGATCGTTAAAATATTGAATGTTGCCAACAAGCGTTTGCAAAATCCGAATTTCTTTTGTGTCGTATTTATGGACAATGGCGCGCCGATTGCAATGGCCTGCTTTAGGTATTTTATTTTCAACCATTACGGCATTGTCGGAATAGTAATTGTATCAATACAAAGCCGGTTAAGGAGTTGGAAATGTTCAATTAAATGTACTGTTGTGTTCCGTAAATTTGAACAAACCTCTTCTCGGATAATCTATTGCATTGATGTCAACAAGCCCTTTCGTATGTAACCCATTAGACAAGAATAAATATAACTCGTAACTGTTATCTGAATGAGATGTGAAACCTTATTATATTTGAAATTCTCGTGTTATCTAAAGTATGATAACCGCAGAGCAGTAATTTCCTCTACGTCAATTGCAACTACAGACCTCGTCGTAGTCCTCATACGTGTGTCAATACTTATTCTGTGTACCAATGACTTTAGAACTTACCACGCTGTATTCAACTTCGGTAAAGTGGTACATCTAACTTTAACTTCGCTAGGAATACAATATTCTTTTAATGAGATCTAAGATTTTCGAGAGTATTCATTTAAATGAAACTAATATTTATTGGATGTAGTACCCGATTTTTTTATTGATTATAAACTACATACTTCCGACGAAATGTTCCTCTCGTCTGCCTGTGATCACGGTTGCTGTAAAGTAACCGAAACCTCAGGAGTATGTAGTTTATAATCAAAAATAAAAATCGCGTAGCACATCCGAAAAATATTAGTTTCATTTAAATACAATATTCTTTTTCTGAATGTTTAGACTAAATATACTTTGTGCTTCCTCTTAATGATTATACTCATTATACAATACAATACAAATACAATTTGATAATTTACCTTAAATCAATAGTCATTGATATATTAAGTTTGAATATAAAAAGCACTTCGATGAAGACGACCTGTTATTTTTATGTCATACACAATTACTTCAGTAACAATTATTGTGGATTTTAAAATGAAAAACAATTAAAACCGACGGATTGCACGAAATATTTTAATGCAGTTTCGATTGAATAAAACAAAATTTCGACGTCAAAACTATATATATATTAATTATAATTATTAAAACAGTATGTTCATACCAGCTGTGAGTAAAATTTAAGTGTTAAAACTTCATTTAGAAACATGGGAACAAATTCCGCAAAATAATTGTACAATTCACTGCCGTTCTTACTATCATCATCTCCGGCTCATTTCCATGAAAGCCAAGAGAAATATTTAAATACCAATATATTATGCTGTCGTGTATGCTGGTATCTGAAATTAAGCACTCCCATATTCGCTGTTAAAAAACCATAACGATATTTGTTGCAGATTCTATACTTTTGTATTGACAGGTCTTTAAATTTATTAAGAAACGTCACAGTCTTCTTCTTTATATTAAAAACAAAATTTCCCTGTAATCCTTTGAAATATATAGATATCTTATATATTTCAAAGGATTACAGGGATATTTCAAAGGATTATATATATATATATATATATATATATATAATTCTTCTATGAGTGTGTATGTCACTGAACTTCTCTCAAACGACTTGACCGAATTTGATGAAATTTTTTATGTGTGTTCAAGGGGATCTGGGAAAGGTTTTGATTCACAATTTTATCCGCTGGACAATGTTCTTCACTGAATTCTTAATTTATTAGTAGTTGTTGATACAAACGTTCTTTTTAGACATAAGATTTGACAACTAACTAATATGTCAATCATTCTGTCGCACTTCAAAACACGGAGATTTATGGCTTTAATAGGTAAACACCAAAAATATAAATAAAAAGACGTAACAGATATTTCTTGATTATAGGGCAATACGAAGTTCGCCGGGTCTTCTAGTATGTATATAAAAATATAAATCTTTTAAATATAACTTCTATAACATTACCGTTTTTCTGCCAATTTACCCTGTTTATAATAACATCATTAATATTCCGGCTTACCAACACCGACAGGGAATACTTTAAAGCGATACATAAAGAACATTTTTCATGGCCAATTTATATTCCTTATACATGTAAGTCATGTTCATAAATTTAATATCAATTTCTATCGCCATAAGCTCGACATTAAATTTCATTAAATGATAACTCTTTTTCCTTTTCATATACGTACACCAGTCTGAATCCACTATGCATTCTAATAGATGTCCATTTTTATAATATTTATTTCTTGTAAGCATTTTTTTTATTCAAAATAATTTAAAGAAAAGTAAATTTTTATAAAAATATTCGTAAAAACTATATTTTCCACCTGGATGTAAGGTTAAGGCTACAGCTCATTCGTAAAACTAGAGGTAGTTAAACTTAGTGAGAAACTAAGGCGACACTTATACGTCTTTTAGCTAACTATCCACACTTATAAAATCCCTCGTTTTTCTCCTAGTTACATTAAGGGCTTTTACGAATACAAAGAGATTAGTATTTGAAAATTCCTCTGAATAATCAATCTTAAAACTGAAATAGGAATTAAATATTCGATCTCAAAATCGAATCCCCTTTCAGGTCTAGATAAAAAAGAAGCATATTCTATAGGTATTAATTATATATTTAAATTATAAATACCGTTTGTTCACAAAATTGGTATCGATTTACTTTTTACTGTTTTTGTTTTTTTCAATGTTATGGCTTCATTCTCATTGGAATCGTGGAATATTTTATCTATGTCGATGTTTGTATTTATTGGATGAATTATAATCTTGAATCCCGTTTGGAGAAAACACAAAGGAGTTTGTCAAATAAAATAAAGGCGTGTATTTAATCATTATTCCCTTATTTAAAGAAGACTCTCTAGTTATACAACTAATTTTTAAATATAAATAATATTTATACTATAAGACAGTTGGTATAGAGTAACGAGTGTACATAGTAACATAGCGTGTTTGCGCCCTTGCCCGAGTTTCCAGAACATCGACAACGAATGAACTCGTTATGAACTCATCGACGGGTGAATGAGTTACTCTTACGGTCCGCCAGGCACTTTCAAAGTTTGCCCCAACGAGAAACATATAAACAACATACCTACACATTCACCTACAGATGTATAAAACAAAATAAGTATTAAAGTAAATTAACATCTTCCAATCAGACACTAATGTAGTAAAATATAGTCATCATACATTTTTAATTTAGTAAAAACAAATATAAAAACAAGACAACATTAATAACTTTTATTCAATACTTTTTGCTAAATTGCAAAAATGTTGTTGTCTATGTACCTACAGATTATGACAATCATTTTTCATTTTAGATAATTTTGAAGAATTTTTATTTTTTACATTTTTTATTTATTTACTGATTTATAGATTTTTATATGTTCTTATATATTAAGTACTTTAGCAGTGGCACAAGAGTGAGTTAATAACGATAAAATGTTTGAAGATGACGAGGACGAGATTTATGAAGCCATTTATGAAAACGGGCACTGGGTGTGGGATACCCGGGAGGAAGCATTAAAATTTATAAGGTAGTCATATTTCATTCTATTTAATATAATGAAACATTTATTCTTAAATATTTTGATGACCAGTGCGCTTAAACATCCTTCCTAAGAAACCTACCCATCAAAATGTAGAAGTATCTGTGTACAAGTGCTCTTTGTTAACAAAATCCACGTCATATACATATATACATAAATGTATTTTTTAAACTCCATACAGAAATGTGGTGTCAGAGTCAGACGTGTACGCGCCACGATCAACCACTAAGCTCAAAACAATCGAGTTTAAAGATGACAAAGATCTTTGGGAGCAGGTAAAAGAAAAATACTCAAATAATAATATCATCTAATGAATAACAAAATTAATGAATGTGAATATTATTCTAGCAAAAGTTTCGAAAACGCATGCAGAGAAAAACAACTGATATCGATGTCGTAACGCTTCAGGTTATTTTATATGTTACATATTTCATTTTTGATAATTCCTACTAAATGACACGTAAAACTTATTGCTTCCTAAAATTGTAATAGTATAATAACAGCTTATTATGTAACTTAAATGATCTGTAGTTATTCATGAAGGAAATACGACCGAAAGCAACATTAAGTTTTGGGTAACTTTGATAAAAAATTCATTCCACTCATAGAGGCGTCTCCCATAGGACGTGAAGGATGTGGTGTTATTTACAGCGCCAACTTCAATATTGTCTCCAGCAGTGATAAACATGTTACACCTGCCCACCACGGAGCGGTTTTTACGAGCTTTAATATTGTGCTGCCAGTACTACTTACAGGTATTAACCTCTAGATTCATTCGAACAACTTGTGTGCGAAATAGATGTTCCTTCCCTTCACTTTTAATGACTATGACATTATGCTGGCTTATTTATGTTACTTACACGTTAAGCATAAAACGATTTACTGCTATAATTTAAGTACATTGAGTCCTTACATATATGTTATTATGTAGGGTAACATCCGAGACCCATATATTTTTATTTTATAGGTATCAGAAATAATGACAAATCGAACTATAGAGCTGGAAACAAAGTTGCGAACTGAAAATAGCGCGGAAATAGAAGCCAGATACAGTGATGATATGGAAGATCTAAGATTGCTCATCGCTAAGGATTATTATATGATGCTTCTAGGTAAATAATACAGATTAAAATAAATTTTATAGAAAATTAAGTTTAAAATTTGTCATTGTAATAAATTTATGTATTTCTATAGGTGAGGGAGATTTTGCTAAATATCATCACATGGGTCCTCAAAAACTACACTCACTTTCCAAAAAAGAGGCTGCTTTTTTTGAAACTATACTGAAGATAGCCATTCAAATCGTCTGGATTGCTCTTGGTCGAAAATATTACAATCAAATCGGTATCAACATCATTATTGCGTTCAATTGCAACCATATCTAATACTAAATATTAAATTATTCAATCATCAGAATTGGAGGTAAATAGAATATTTAAATCTGATATTTACAACTCCGCGGAGCACAAATTGAATACAAACTATCAAGTTAAAATGAATGACAGAGAGCAGTCTGTATTATTTGGACACTGCCTGCATCTTGGTAAAAAAGTTAACAGCAACTCACCTCTTATAAACGAGGTATACTGCCACCGCGGAATCGACTACCGTTTGTTTGGGCTTGGGGCTATAAAATATCCAGGGTATGTTGTACTATTTACTTGTTACTCTTAAATTACCATTGTGCTTTTTACAATTTAATAGTTAAAATATCGTGTAGCTACTAATTTAATAAATTGAATAAACACAAAAGCATTAAGATAATAATCTTCACATTTTTTCTTATTGAGTTGAAATATTTTAATAGTAGAAAACGATAGTATCGTGATGACATAATTAGTACTCCTTCAGAAGTCGCAAGTAAAATATTACAACTACATTACATAAGTGACTATGTGGGATGATTGAGAATGAACTCTAGTCGCCCTTCCCTTATCAGCCAAATTCCGTAGCACCTACTCATCATCATCATCATATATTATAGATATATATTTTTGATTAATGTTTTTGACCCAATTCTGATTTCGTAAGGAAAAGTACATATTAAATAAAAACTTGTAGATTAAAAACACGCTTAAGTTTTTTGGAAGGTATACTATCAGAACCAGAAGAAAAGTTTACAGAATATGGCTTTACTCTTGGAATTTTGGGACTCGCTCGTTCGAGATTTGATATAATGTTAAAAGAAATTAAAGCCTTTGCAGGCGCAGGAAGCGTGTCTTCAGCTAACATCAGACACAGTTTATCAAGGTTAATATTAATTAAACGTCTGGCTAATTATTCGATACATAATAAAAATATTAATTAAATAAGAATAAACTCGTAACAAAATTTATTATCAAATACTGTCAAGATTTCATTTGCAAAAAATTAATCTTTAAAAATAACTTATTTAATTTATAAGTTATATTTCATAGGAAATAATAATTACATATGAAATAAAAATATGATATTAAACAAAAAATTGCAATATTATATTTATATATATAATATTAAAATCAATTCAAAGAAAACAAAATGTTTAACATTTATATATTTTTTTTATAAATGTTAGTAGATTCAATAAAACTTGTCACCCGTTCCCAAATCGCACTTGTCCTTATTCTATTTAAGTTCTTGGTACTTTAATCTTAGCACGTTATAGGACATCAAGAGTAATGTCTCGTAAAAGCACAGCATCCGCTATTCCACAGAAGCTGTATCCAAACATTTATATACCGAGGAAGGACGAAATAAAGTGAGTCATAAATTTTAAATTAATTACATTAATATTTAGTTTTTAATAGGAATACTAATAACATACGTTTTATACTACTTTATATGACCAAGAAAAAGTCATTAAAATTAAATCAATAATAATCATCGAGAAGAAACGGATTCTTTATATAACTAGAGAATTTATAACTTATTACTGTCAAACTAAACAAAAAACTATTGAAACAGTTCTTGAAATTAGCTGAGATTTGTTTTATGTTACAGTGACATCCTTGCCGACTTTTGTAAAGAATCTCTTCCAAAGCTAAAAAAGAATGAAGAACAACGTTTGAAATGGATTCACCGCATCACTGGAAGAAAAGCTCTTAGGAAAGATATAAAAAAAGTTCCTTGATCTTTTGAGTTTGACTTACCCTTAGGCTTTAAACAAATAAAGTCAAAGAAATATATTGTATAACCGATTAACAAAATATACATAATATAAATGTCAGTTTTTAATTAATAAATAGAAAATATTACAATGCTATTTGCGAAACCAATAAATAATGCAATTTGTTGTTACTAAAATTTAAATTCAGCACCTTTGAATTAAATATAACACAATAAATAATAATAAAATGAACAAAAACATATCATAGAGATAAGACAAATATATATTTGAGATACCAGTGACCAACAGTAATAAGATTGCCCCAACGATAGACAAGAAAATAGTTTTCGTAATAACTGCTGACAGCAGCTGCTATTAGCAGACTTCATACAATATTGATCAGCATTATTATCCTGTCACGATTGTTCCAAATTAAGTATTTAGTTATAGAAAGGATGACAGAATAAGTATATTTGTTAGCTCCTTACTATTAAATGTTAACCTTTGTTAGCTACATTGGTGAATAAAAGAAATCAAAACTGAAGTATATATGTGTATTAAAAGCACTCAAAAAACTTAAATTAAAACTACTACAAGTACCGGAAGAAAAATTATAAAAAAATTATATATTAAAATGGGAGCAAATGGCAAAATATAGAATATATGAACTGATGCGCAAAGTCAATGTAAATAGAACTAGTCGTCTTAGTGTGGATGTAAAAGTCTCTGTAGTCTGTTCTGCCAACGCCGTCTTTGAGTTTCACTGCAGGGTCGAATAACTTCAGTTTCGTCGGAGAATTGTGAAGGAAAATACGTTCTGGAAAATATATATTATACTACTCGTGTTCATGGGATACAAAGAAAATTCTTAGCAAAATAGAGCAAACTGCTCTATCTGGAAAGAGTATTTGGAATATTTGTACCATAAGATTTCCTTCGTGTTTCACTTCATTATTTTCGTTTCATAATTTCAACAATTTACATATCGACTATTATAATCTAAAATTTTATTTACTCACAATTCTGATTCCTTCGCTGGAAGTACAATATTTGGATAGAGAGTTGGCAAAAACAGCTGACTTTTCCTTGAACCGGCACTAACAGCACTCTTGTTTGAACCATAGCTTTGAGTGGATCTGTGTATATATTTAAAAAAAATGTGTATTTATTAGTAATTTGTCTATTTGCACCAGAATATTTTATCCTTTTCTCTAAAAGAAATTAGTTCCAGCTACCTTTTCACGTCAAAAATACATTTATTAAACTCATACCAATCAAGCGTATTTTTAGCATAATTATTACATAAAATTTTTAGCTAGTAGCAAAAGGATATCAACATCAGAAATGTTAAACAAATCGAGCTTCTCTATACATACTAACTGGATGTTAATTAAAACCAAACAGTTTTTTAAAGTCATAAAAAAGCCAGCATTTATTACAATCTCAAACACCAGGGTTCTTTACATAATAGCATCAGAATTTCTATCCGTGTATTTATCTAATCGAAATGCCGTTACATAAAATAAAATCTCGTTTTACGCTCCAATATCCAAAGATCTAAACGAATCTAATGATCCGTATCTAATTTAATCGGAATACGTACACAGAAGCTCTGGATTTGGTGGTATCGCCACCCGTCGGTAGAGGGCGTAGCATTGTATCGAAAACATTGCGAGGCATCCCGATGATACCAAGAACAATACCCAGTTCTGACAATTTCTCCTCTGGACCGGCTACAGCTTGTAGCATATATAATATACGAGGATTTACTCTAAAAAAAATATTTTATATACAGACTATCGATGACATTAACTGTCATTAGATAAGTATATGACGTAACTCAATTAGCTTTTTTGAAGTAAATTTAAAAGGAGGCATGTGTAAAGTTTAATGCAAAACCAATTAAAAATTATTTCCAAAACGAATTTTCATTACAACAAACAACATACTGTTGACATTTAATAACACCAAGTCCCATCATACGGTAGTCGATCTGGCGATGGCAGAACACCTCGTTCATGAGCGGCGAACGAGTGTTTAACTTCTTATCTTGACGAACGCACTTCCCCAACAGAACTTGGCGTTCTTCTTTTACCATTTTTGATATATATCCCGTCTTGAGTGTATGCTCCACAGCATTAAATATCTCAGATTTGAACATTCTATTCACTTCCAACTCTTCATTAAAATAAGTCAATTAACAAGATAAAGTTTGTATACAATAACCTATTATAAAAAATACTATAGATAAAAAATATAATGCCCAAATAATGTACAGCTGTAAATTTAATATTCAAATGAATAGGCCGGTTTGAATAACGTTCGCGTATTATCAAAAACGATTTACGATAATCATAAAACCAGAATAATTTTCAACCATAAAATTATAAACGCTTTTACCTATCTGATTGAAAGCCTTTCGCCCTAAGGCCAGCCACACAATTTGAACGCACATACGTAGCAATGTTTCGAAAAATCTTGCATCTTTATCCGATAGAGATCTTCGTTTTTTTTGTGGGCCCATGTGATGAAATTTTTTAGTATCACCTCCACCTGGCCGTTAACAAATATGATGAATATTAAAAGTATAAAGTTATATTTTACTATAAGTAGAGTTTTGGTACTGTTTCGTTTAATTTCATTAAAATAACTCTTATATTACAAAGGTATATATAATATAACTGTAGTTAAGTGATCATATATTATACAAATATAAATATCTATATTTATTATGAAATATACATCAGAAGAGAACTCATTGTTTCTTTGAAAATATTAAATTAATAATATATAAATCTTCGCCTCCTTTCGTAGTTTTAAAATTTCTTATAGTGACCAAGCATTAAAATCGAATTTATTATATTATTTTAACTATTTTTATATATTTCATTTTTTAATTTTATATATTTCATTTATTTAAATGTTATATGAGTTCCTTACTAAAGCAATAAATAGGAACTACAGTAAAATTTGTAACCTACTCCAGATAGATAAAATACGAGGTACAAACCAATAAGCATCGTGCTATATTCTTTTGCGACTAGAAGCCTTAAATCGGACAAGTTGTCACGAAACTCGCTTTCGACAATCTCACATTGCGGTGTTCTTACTTTACTCTCAAGTTTTATTATACGATCTGCCATTTCATTGGCAATCTTAAAAGATCATTATATATAAAATAGAAACTATTTAATGAGCAGTCTACATTTAGAAAATCTCTAAAACAAAGTATATATATCATATTTTATAGGAAGATTAAAATGTTCATTATAAAAGGTCCATACAACCTGTAAATAATACTGACAGCAAAGCACTAGCGCTCTTATAAATCTCTCTGTAGTAGGTAGATGTAGCATGTTTATTAACACGGGACTTAAAATATTTACTGGTGCTGTAAACAAAGCTATGTCCTTCACATCCTGGGAATATTTTTTATCTTTACATATTCAAATTATAAGTAGCACTATACATATATTTAAAAATGTGCTTTGATAACAAAATACCTGTACAGTAATGACATCTGCTTGTCCAGGTTTTAATTTTCTTTGATAGCGCCGACGAAATCTTATCTATGTAATAAATTTAATATATTTAAATTATTTCACTCTTTCATTCTCATTTACATGTAAAATAAACTATTTCTATTTACCTGTTCGATTAAATCAACGTCATCTCTAAAATCTATTGTCCCTGTGGGTGCTTTAGTAGGTATTTGAATTATCTCTACCTGTTTCGGTGGCAAATCGCTGTACAGATATTAAATGTTGAAACAGGTATTTATTTTTATTAAAACAAAATGAACCTTCTTATTACCTCACGAAAACTAAACCTTCAGTTTCTTCGTCCCAAACCCAATGGCCATCTTCGTACAAACCTCCAAAGCCACCCTCATCATCTTCATCAGCCATACTTATAACTATTTATAATGTCCAATAATATATCATAAATATAAGAACCCTAAAATCTTTTATCTATACGGAGGGCTATGGACATTTCTTCTTAGGGTAGGTAAATGACATCCGTCTGACAAAATAAAGCTTTTTAAAAAAATCGTTGATTAATGAGGAATGAACGAAAAGGTTACATATCTTTTATTTTAAAATAAGACGGAAGTAATTGAATACTTTTTATATTTCAATTTAGGAACATTATTCATAAACTGATAAAATATCTTGATTTAATTCAACAGTTGTAAATCTCGATTCGAAATTTTTATCGGGCGCATTTATAACTTTGGGAGAATTTATGATGTCACCGGAGTTGCTCTCGACGGCGTTGAATATAAAGTTATGTTAATGCAACAAAGTTGAAACCTTAAAAGTTACCAATATTTTAACTTACTATGATGGACGGATAGTTTTCGATGAACTCTATCATAAAGTAGATAGCTCATAATTATCGCTTTGATGTTTTTTTAATAAATTCGATTCGTGCTATTTATTGAAGCATATTATGAAATTATAACATTAAAAGGGAACAGTGTGTCAGATGAGTTGGTTCATTGAATTCTACGGTACAGGCGGTTGCTCACAAGCTGCGACGCGAGGCTTTGATCATGTGCGCTCTGCCATGTGATCGTGAAACTCCACTTCAGAACCAAGGCCGTCTATAGATACGTGAAATTATATACGTTAAATGACTAGAAAAGAAAACAGTCAGACGTATAAAATAAAACGATTCATTGAATAACATTAACGATTCTTTACTGTTCTACCAGAAAGAGTTGCGCATCCTACAAACTATTAACCACAAAGTACAAAGGTACATTTGTGTTTTCACCACACAGGTAATAAAATGCTGAATCACGAAACTGAATGAGCAACTCTTTCCAGACCGTTTCACTTTTATTTTCAAACTTCCAGTCCGCTGAGTAGAACGATTGAACCTATTAGTAACGACTTTTTGTAGTTGCAATACACATTTACAAAACTACTAGGCTGTAAAGGGCATATGTAGATAAAAAGCAATGATATATCACCATTTTATAATTAAAGAAAACATATCACGTTTAGTTTCTTATGAACAAACTGATTATCTTACCTATCACATTTTCACAACTGGCATTTATACATAGATAATATTTTCTGTTTTAAAAAATGTACATGAAGACTACCCGTAGATATAAAATTAATATTAAAAGTCCGTTTTAGCATCAATAGGAATTGTAATTTGATATTTGTGAACTGCCGATGAAAATCTTCATTGTATGTGTTTACATGAGCCCGTGTTTTGATCCGCTGAGAAGGGTTGCTGGTATCATAAATATATTTGATCAAAAGACGGAACTCATCAGGCATGACTAAGAAAAAAGGTTTAGGTAAATTTAGTGAGGGGGGGGGGTCATAAATGAAACAGAACCATAAAATCTACGGGGGCACATCGAACCTACGTTTAATCAACCACTACCATCGTCTTTATGCTTCAATGAATATTCATATCATGATCGACGCTCGCTTCGCTTTATTCATTGTAAACACGTGTACGTGTCCTCCCAAGCTTGTCTTGTATTACGTAAATATCTAGACTATTAGCTTAATTATGTTTTGATCGTCATCAAAATGATTTCCTACTTCAACTGTTTATAGGGATGTATGAAAATTAGTATTGATTTTACAGAAAAATAATATTAGACGATAAAATCGTAATTTTATTAAATTTTACAACCGTGGTGATAAATATCGGGTCGTAACAGTCAAGACGTGAAAATAGGAATCGCTGCAATAAATTATTATTATTATCGTTCTTATTGAAACCGAAATGTTTTTATGCCTTAACGTCAAACTGTTTTATTCATATGTAAATTATCCGCAACCAAGACTCAACTTCAACTTCTCAAATATGACAGATAACTCAAACTGCATTCAAATTTTCGATGTTAGGTAAATTAAATAAAATAATGGTACTTATTTTTAATTTAAAAATTTTATTTTATTTTACAACATCACTTAAAAAACTAAATAACATAATTGATTACATATCCTTCTCCAATGTAAATCTCGACATCGTATCGGTAGTGAATGTCGGTATTTTATTCGTATTAAATGTAAGGAAATAAGCGTAGTAGGATATCCAAAATAGAAAAACTCCTAGAGCGCAATAAACAGATGTTATCATGAGAGGAAAGAAAGGCAGCGTTTTGTCCAAACCTAAAGCGCTATGAATAACATTTTCGTAAATAAAAATAATTATTAAACCATTTAAATGCATGGAGAGACATTTCTCCGGTCCGGACAACGATCGGAAACCGCTGCTTTTATTTGATTTAGTTTTAGGAACTTCGTAAATTAACGGGAGATGATGAAAGGCGAGGGCTGAATGTGTAAATAACATAAACACTTTAATTGGTAACAAATTTTTATGGAAGAGGAGAGGGAATAGCGAATAGTGACCTAATGTCGATAGATACAAGTATGCTTTTGCATCAGCACGGCCGAGGACGGAAAGGAATCTGTAACAAACAGTAAAATAATTAAACAATCAATTAAAATTTCAACAAAATTATAAACACTAGGAATACTGGAGTTCCGTAAAATAGTTAGAAATAATTAGATATTCAAATAAAATTTGCAGCTGTAACTGAATCTGTCATATAATAAAGTTCTATCTACTATATTATAATACCCCCACCCCTAGCCACAGCCATATTTTTATGGTGTGTATATATTATGTATATAGTGTTCCCATGTAGACATATTATACACATTTGTTACATTAACTTTATTTTCATGCTGATTAGAATTCTAGACAACAAAACAAAAATTACACTATTATTCTTGATTTTAAAATCAATATATATCTGAGATATATTGCTATATATATTGTACTTGTTTCAAAACAATCTCACTTACGTAAGAGGAATGATTATCATCAGTATAGCCTTCTCATGGACATGCCAACCAAACATAAAGGAGCATGTAGCACAGATTGTGAGACACCTGAAACAATTTACCATCGAAATTAAATCATAAACTAGTTTTAAAAGATCTCTATAATTATTTTGAAGATGAAATTAAATGTGAATTAAATTAAGAATGGTTTTGTTTACATAGACTAACAAAATACATATGTATATAACAATATCTATGAATGTTTCTGACTAGGTTGGCAACATTTCTACGGCCAGCAGACACATGGGTGACCACAGTATTGTGTTCAAACATTATTGTTCTGGCAACTATCCCATTGATGTAACATAACATTCATGATAAACATACTTATAGTTTTTACATGCCTTATATTATTATGATTATAAATTAAATTGCATACCTAACAAAGCTCATAGATCTATACTTCTTATCAGCTCCAAGATACCATAACTTTACTAAGGCTGGTAGCATAGATAATACAGTTAGAAGAAATGTAATTGTCGGTGTAATCGATGGAAGTATGGCATGATTGTACTCCTTCACTAAACCTCCAGTCATGGAAGCCTCTGGTGATGTAATTGCTATTCCTAATTTTAGACCTTAAAAAACAATATATTTTATCAAATTATAATTTTATTTGTAGACACTACTAAAGTCTTACCTACATAGTTGCTGCAAAACTTTGTCTGCAAAGTTATATAAGGCCCAAAAATTTGGTGCCCAATAAGCATGACATAACCCTCGTTTGAATGGAAATAATCTTGAAATGAGCTGAAAGAAAATATTAATATATTGTTTGAGTTTAAAATTTTGAAACTCAAATTTTATGCCAATTAAATATATATATTTAACCAGAATAAAGATCAAAACTTGTATCCTACCTGTGGTATTTGGTCAATGAATGGCCCAAAAGATAAAGAAAACACAGATAATACAGCCAAACCAAGCTTAATAAGATTACCAAATGAGAATGTTGACCAGGGAGTATGTACACCACCCGTTGAGGATGTTGGGAAGCAGTACACTCTAAGCAAATACACCACATACACTGGTGCAATATACAGGAATATATGTTTGAAGTTCAATAGTATGGCAAACCAAAGAGCCGAGGATATAAAGTTACTCTGTAAAAATAATATCACTGTGAAATTTATATGTATTGTTGGTTTACTATACACATTTAATATAGACATACTTACCCTTATCATATTTCCAATCGATAAAAGTAAAATTCCAAATAAGAAACCATTATATTGAAAATGTATATGATCAACCATTAAAAGGCCAGGATTAGTTATTAGAAGTATGTATACAAGAAGACTACCATTTGAAATTGCACTGGTACAACTAAAAATTAAGACATTTAAAATATGTATATAACACATTTAACTTCTACAATACCATAAAATATGCCAACTTGTTTCTATACATACCGCTTCGCAGCATAAATGAATACACAGTCCAGAGCAATCACAGACAATCTTTGAAACATGACTGTCATATCAGATTTATAATTGATATTTTCTACTTTGAGCATCTCTGGATCAAAATATTTCGCTATATGAGACAGAAAATATTCTAACCAAGCAAAAAATGGAGGATAATCTAGTGTCCATTCCGAGGTGGTATCGTAATACCACTTATCATATGATAAATTGTGTGTTACTGCTAGCCAGTTTCTATGAACTTCAAAATCCGTGGAGTGACTAAAACATTAAAAGTGAATTAAACTCATGACCTAATTATATATCTTAACTTTATTGTTAATACAAACTCACTATAAGGGCATAAAAAAGAACTTTATCGCGGTCACAATAAATGCAACTTCAAACAACATTTTCAAAAATATTTATAACAGCTAAGTAAATAATAATTGGATATCAATATATATTGTTCTTAGAATCATATTACTTTTCTTTTAATTATAGTTGTATGTATTTTTATTTAAAAACGAAAATGCCGATATACAAATCAGCTATTATTAAGTCAACAGGCATAAAAATGTCAACTGTCAAAGAAAGAAAATTAGATACACATACTAATTCTATATCTTATGTACTCTGGAAGATCTCCAGTAAATTACTCTTTTATTAAATTTACAGAAAATGTATATTAAACTACTAAAACTATACTGTACTACTAAAACTGTACTGCAAGAAAGAAACTTATATTTTTTTCTTCACCATTTGAAAATAGAAATTTTAACGAACAGAACAAATATTTGAAAAAAACTCGTATTTTGCCGGATTATTTTTCGACTGAAAATGTGGCAGATTTTTCGATTTTTATTCAAAATAAGCTGAAAAATAAATATTTCTAATCAAATAAATTACAGTGTAATTGGGACATCAAAAGGTAAGTTTTTATCAAATTTTCGTGACAAAATATTGTTTTTTGGAAGAGATAAAAATAAAAAACAAAAAACATGGTTTTTTGAATTTTTCACATAAATTTTGAGGTTTTGTGAAAAAATGAAAACACAAAAGTTTTAGATCTTCTTATTATCTACAAATTTGCCATATAACTTTTTTCCGTAAGACTTTTGGTTTTGCCGTAACTGGACAAAACCCTATCTTTACCCTTAAATACCCACCCCCATACCCTTCCCGACCTAAGATCGCCCGTAAATTATTTTTCCTTCAATTTTTATATTATTCCCCCCCTTTTCTATTGGATTTCATCCTACTATAATTTAATTATGTTTTAAAAGCTATCGGCACTGGTCTAGGAATAATTTTGAGAAAATGTTATTTTATTTAAAAAAAGAACGTCTTTTAAAATATGACTCTTCCTGACATCTATCGGTGAATAGTAATACTACTTTTTGCTAACTACTTTTACTAATTGCTTTAACGACAGATGGCGTTGTTAAGTACCAGGAAGTCAATGAGTGTTTGTTTTGAGGTTAAATTAAAAAATTAATTGTTGATTTATATTGTTTTGTCTTCTTAACGTGTTCACTTAAAATACCTAAACGAAATAAAAAAAAACACAAAATAAATACTTATAATTCCTAAATACCGAGCAAAGCTCGTTAACCAGAAATTGTTGTATTAATTATTTAAACCAAAAACTTATTCTATTGATTTACCTTAATTTCTACTAATATGCATTATTCACATAGTCACGATGAACTCTAAGTCACACTTTTAATAACAGCTATTCACTTACTAATAGAATATATAATCTCTGACATATTTTCTTTTTTGCTGGAGTTATGTAAAATGTTAATATAATATTATGTGGAATGAGGGATAGCGTAAAAAACGATATATAATATATTAAATTAAATTTCATAGCATTCATTCCTATATTTTTTTAGCCCCCACTATGAAATGGAACTGTCATATATTTAACGTGTAAGAAAATAATGTATAGAAAATCTGCCATCTAACGAACAAGGTACAACAACTTTGACACTATTTTCCTTTATAACTTCATAGATGGCGTAAGGAGTTCTCAAATTGAGTTGACATTAGGATAAATTTTAAATTATTTCAGTTGCTCATTTGCCGTTGCTTACTGTGCTGTAAAATCGGCTATTAAGTGTTATTTTCGGTGTGCAACTAAAGGTTTATTTATTTAGTAAAATCTATGTAATAAAAGTTTTATTTGTCATATATAGGTATATACAATCAATTACTACTCTTGTTACGTCAATTTCAACCGTAACAGTTTATTGACTTCTTATAAAAGTATTTCAGGTCCTTTTCATCAATTTGGAGAATTTGGAGAAATTCATTCAAAGGAAAAATATTTTAAATGAAGACGTGAAACAAAAGAAAGATTTTTATATTTATAATAATATAAGAATATGTGATCGTCATTTTGAACAGTTTTACCGTTTTTCAAGTAAACGACTCACTCAAAATGCTGTACCAACTCTATACTTAAGTATCTAAAGTAAGCAACTTCCCAAGTTATAGGCACACAATACATACATCACATTGTCATCTCTAGCCAGTGCCCTATAAGGCAAAAGAAAATCGCAAACAGTAAACCCAAGTCATATGTTGACACGTTAAAAGATTCATTAAATTTTCCCTCCCTTAATAAAAAATTAAATACCCAAGAAGTAATCCAAGCAATACTATCAAATTCCGAAGCAATGACTCTATTAACCCATAGTAAAAGTTATAACTTTAAATAAAACTCAAAATATAAGTATTAGTTCACAATTTATTAGCTCAGCTATTAAATAAACCATCCAGGACAAAAATAGCAAAACGTCACATTCAACCACCAAATCTTAAATATTTTACAGTGGAATGCTCAAAGTCTGTTAAGTAGTAGACTTGAGTTCCAAAATTTTCTATACCAAAATAATATACATGTAGCTCTTATTTCAGAAACTTGGCTCAAGCCTAGCATGCAATTTAATTTTCGTGGTTATACCATTATTAGGAATGACTGCGGTAATGATCATAATGGCGTAGCAATATTAATTAAAAATGGTATACATTTCTCTAAACTAGATACTTTTTATGATGAATCGTTACAAAATGTAGTAATTGTTATTAAACTGAAACATAAATGCATTTCTTTGGTTAGTTTTTACAGTACTGGTAATAGTTTTCCTGCTTTTGAAAAGGCAAAGTTCGATCGTTTATTGTAAAGTATTCCAAAACCGTTGATAATTGCAGGCGATTTTAACGCCCATCATATTTTTTGGGGTTGTAGTCGCATAGATTCTCGGGGCAAAGCTATTATGGATTCCATGGATGATCAACCAACAACTATAGGCTCTCATATTAGGAAACCAAACAGTCTAGATTTAACTATGGTGTCTTCTTCTTTATTTCTTTGTTGTGACTGGCAAGTTCATCAGGACCCTTTAGGCAGTTATCATCTGCCAACTATCACAAAATTTACTCTCGTAAGAGATCAACATGAACCCTCTATTTCCTTGAACAACATTCCTTTTCACAGCAATCTGAAATGAGTAAATTGGGATAGGTATGAACAAATTGTTAATAAAATGTTAATGAACTTTAAAGTTGACAATAGTGATCTCCTTGACTCATACAGAAAGTTTTGTGCAATTATTCTATTGGTAATCAAATTCTCCAGGACCAGCTTAAACCATAACACAACTCATAGTAATAATAACCGTCCTAGAAAAAGGTGTCAAGTGCCTTGGTGGAATGATAAATGTTCAAAAGTAGGAGAAGACTGCAAGAACGCCTACATTAATTTCAAAACTAGTCTTAATAGTAAAAATTACATTAATTTCAAACGCGCACAAGAATATAAAAAAAGACTTTAAAAGAAGAACGTTGCAAAAGTTGGTCTGAATTCTGCCCATCAATAAATCGTTTGACATCTATAAATCGCATTTGGACTAAAATAAGAAAATTCAAAAAAAGCTTTCCGAGTTCTAACTTATTTTCTGACCTCAATTGGGTTCAAACATTTTTATATAAATACACACCGGATACTGTTTCACAACAGATAAGTATAGATAATTTTCTTGGAGTAAATAGTGATAATTCCTACATGATCGGTTGTTTTACTAGGCAAGAGTTAAAATCTGCTTTAGCCTCAAGAAAAGATTCTTCATATGGCCTGGATTGGCTTTCCTACAGAATGTTTAAACTTTTAAATTTTTAAATGTTCAAACTCTATCTATTTTTTTAAATTTATTCAATAGTTTATGGTCGTCTTCTATTATGCCAGAGGATTGGAAAACTGACTGTTTGGTACCAATATTAAAACCTGGCAAAGACTTTAATTTGGCTGATTGTTATCGTCCTATTACACTGAGATCATGTGTTCGAAAAAATTTTGAACAATTAATAAAACAGAGATTAATTTTTCACATAGAAAGTAATAATCTTTTACCTTACAATCAGTTTGGCTTTCGTTGTGGCTGTTCTGCTTGTGACAGTCTACATCATTTCTGTCTGGATATCCACGATGCTCATTCCGAGAATAGAGTACTAGTTGGTGTTTTTCTTGACATTGTAGGGGCTTTCAATAATGTAGATCTGAACGAATTATCCTCAATATTATTATTACTACAGGTACCTGGAAAAGTTGTAAATTGGATTTTTAATTTTTCGAACTACAGAAAGGTCTTTGTTAAGGTTAACACTCAGTTATTTTGTCCAAGATATTCTTGTAGGGGTGGTGTATTGAGCCCATTGCTTTTTATCCTATTCATATATCAGCTAAATTTAACTCTGGGGTGTGAAGTTTCTAATCTGCAGTTTCCAGATGATTTAGTTGTTTATTGCTCTGATACTAATATTTTACATGTACAATCAGTCCTCAATGTTGCTCTCCAAAGACTAAAGAACTATTTTGATAGCCTTGGGCTGGAGGTCAGCAATGAAAAAAGTTGTTGTCTTTTCAAAAAATGGAATTAGAAATGGGAATGCAAATATTTTGTTCAATAATAATGTAATGTCTGTAGAGAGCTCTGTAAAGTTTTTAGGTGTTATTTTTACAAACAATTTTAGATGGAATAAGTATGCTGAAACTCTAGAATCTTGACCTTTAAATGCTTGTAATGTTTTAAAATCTTCAACAGGCACATATTGGGGTGCTGATCCAACGATTCTATTAACATTGTATAAATCATTAGTAAGGAGTCATTTTGAATATGCTTTTTTTTGTTTTGCAGGGGTAAGAACTATAGTAGATAAATTAGAATAGATACAAAATAAATGTTTGCGTATTATAATGGGTGCCATGCGAACTACTCCCATAGTGTCAATACAGGTGGAATGTAATATACCTCAATTAGCACTTAGGTTTAAAAACTTACAATCAAAATTTTTCGCAAGGTTGCTCTCCGTCAGTAATCATCCACTTCTTGTTAAACTACGGGACACTATTAACAGGACTGCCAATATTAATTCATATTTGTTTCAAGGTTTTTCTGAAACAGAACAAATTTTTAATAAACATAATATATTTTCTAGCATGGTATGGCCTTGTTACTCTGGGTTATATGAATCAAAATTTATTCAGATTAAAATTGTAGTCAAAAGTCTTCTAAAGTATAAGGAAGACATTTATAGGGAACTTGATAGGTGGCAGGGATATCATCAGATATATACAGATGGGTCTTGGAACAATGGAGCAGTCTCTATAGCTGTCTACGATAGTCAGATCAAAAGTGGATTCGGTCATAGGCTGAATCCACTCACAAGCATATACTCTGCTGACTCCATAGCTGTGTATACAGCTATGGAGCACATTCAAACACAGACTCATCCAAAATGGATTATAATAACGGATAGTTTAAGTTTATTAATGGCACTACAAAATCCACAATTAAATTCAAAACTAACTATATTATATATAAAAAAAGAGAGTTGTATCACCTGCTGTCTCAAAACAAGCAAATAGTCTTATTCTGGACACCAGCCCACATTGGTGTGCATGAGCAAGCAGACTATTTAGCTAACTTTATGACAAATCTGGCCCACAATCAATTAAGTCATAGCTTTTTAAATTTCCCAATTTCTTATTCAGATGCTCTATCCCTCTTCAAACTCAAGTTACAGAAAGAATTTTACAACTTATTTCATCAGGTGGTAAAGGTAAAAGGAAAATGGTTAGCTACAATGAAGAAAAAGGTCTCTTCTCCTTGGTTTACCCGGGGTAGTGACTATAGCCATCGAAAGTATTATACCACAATCTGACGTTTGCGTCTGGGACATTGTAGTTTTGGTGCTCACCTTTTTAGGATTGGTGTTTTTGACTCTTCAACTTGTAGATATTGCAATAGTGCTGATGAAACCCTTTCACAGTCCACAGTTTAGTATTCAAAGGATGGTCCTTGTAGACCAACTTTTAAGTATTTTTAAAACTGCTGAAGATATCCCGGGCTCCCTTCAGCAAATACTAAGCATTCAAGAATGCTTCTTGCCAGTTTAGTGCTTTATTGTTTCTACTATAAATGAAATCTAATTGTTATATGTACATGTGTATATAATATTAATTTTTTTCGTTTTGTTTAAGATATTTGTTTTTCTGCTATTTCGGCTATTTTCAAAATTTGAAAGTTTTATCGATTGTGACAAATGAATTGTACTAAAAATGACCTTACAAGGACTTGACTTTGAAAAAAACCGAATGTAAAAAAAATACAAGTATTTGACAAAAAAATATTAAATATAGACATGGTTTCGGCCTTATAATTAAAAAATAATTCAAGAAGAAAAATCAAACAAGACATATCTTCGGCCTTAAAATTAAAAAAATGATTTAGGAAGAAAATTAAAAGAAGACATGGCTTAGGCCTTAAAATTAAAAAAATGTTTTAAGAAGAAAATTAAAAGAAGACATGGTTTAGGCCTGATATAAAAACTTGAGTCAAGAATAAAAAAGAAGATTAAGACAATTAAAAATAATTAAAGATACAAAATACAAAAGACATGGCTGTATGGGCTTTGTTCTCTTTGCCTGTTCTGGACGGAACGAACATAACCAAAAAATATATATTAATTTCACTTGTCACTTTAGCCAACTGTGTCAGCTGTTGTCGTATGTCAGATGTCAATTACCATTCTACAACGGGCTGTCTAGATATACATTTATTTTTCGTTTTCGTAACCGGAAAACATTATTATTATTATTTTTGTGTACACTATAAAGTAATGCAAGAATTAAGGATCGTCTAATGATCTTAAAGTGGTTACGTACAACTTAATCTTTGAATCAGTGTCAGACTGGCTTAATCAATTGAATAAAATTGAAAATACATTGAAATTAGAAACACATTAAAAGTGAAAATAATAACAGTCGTTTCACAAGTCATTTTACAATGGCTATCCTACACAGAGCCTTATTTACATGGTTTATCTTTCTAGTATTTTTAATTCTCCTATGCCTAAGATTGGAATCCAGGACACACTGGAATTGGTTTATAGTATTTATACCGATGTGGGTGTATGATAGTATATTACTGATATATGTATTATTTCATATGGTGTCACACTGTCGAAATGGAATTGAGAGGTTCAGAAGTACTATCAACAAAAATGTGTGGTATATAGCAGCCATAGGACTTAAGATGGCTGCACAAATAATAATTTGTATAAAATTAGAGTTTCCTAGTGGTTACCTACCAATATATGTTGTAATGACCCCTATATGGATGTTGCTACCAGTTCTCTGTGTAGAAGTGTTTATGCATCTCATTAAACATTCAAGTAGGAGTAGTAGGTACTAAAACATTTTGAATAGAAGCCATTCTGTCTAATATTAAGATTAAGTATTTTAAAGTACACATGTGACGGGGATATATTTAAACTTGGCACAATTCCATTGACATTGTCAGTACATTTGCATAGTATTGCTGAAAGGAATAGCATCATAGGTGACATAACTATTGCAATAGTCAAGGGCAGTGGAGTATTTGCTAGAAAATGCCATCTGTAATTGAGAATATTGGTGACATCAGAAGCAGTGTGGTCACAGAAGTACCCGCTGGGACAACAGTGGTCCTGAACTGTGACAGCAATGATTATAACCATAATTTTATGTTCTGGCTTTTTGACAAAAATAAAGTTATAGGACCAGGGAATGAATATGATGAGAGAAAATATAAATATGAAGTTTTATCCGGAAAATTGCATATTGATGTGAGTATTATGATTGTTTTGAAGTGTTAAAGCTTAAGAAATAAATAAGTTTTTCAGAAATATTAGCTATGTTTTCTGGTTTCTATATTTGTGCCAGAAGTACTGTATTCACATTCATTTCCCGTCATACCTTCATTGTCTAATGAAAATTCTTAGTGAGTTTAAACATAGCTGGAACTATTCCTATCGTATTGTGAGATGAAGGTGAACTACCCATTACATAGATCAACTACTTATTTTTGGATTCATAAAATAAAATAATTTTCACACATCCTATTATTCAATCAATCCCTATCTCTATTATTATATCTATGTTTTAATAATTCACCACAAAATGGTTTAAAAGTAATTAATGTGTGGTAGTGTTTTAAAATATGAAAGTATCTATATATGTTTTCCAGAGTGTGTCGCCTACCGAGTCTGGATACTACAAATGTGTGTCTAAAAACCTAGATGGATCTGGCATCACAGTGGGTGAAGTCGAAATGATAGTCAAGGGTTCTTCTTTCACAACAACAGATGCTATTAAGCTAACTGCCATAATAGTATCTATCCTCATATTAATTATCTGCACAGTTATTTATAGCAGACTAAGAAAGGAATGGAACAAGTATGATGGACGCACTGTTGTACCAGGTAGTGTAGTTTACAATTATTATATTATACAGGGTGACTGGTGAATTACTATCGATACTTGAGGACGTGATATTTGACGATCATATATGACAAAATAAAAATTAATATAACATAAATATTAATAAACTTCTAAGTAAAGTTAACCAAAAGTTATGTAATTAATTACGCATCGTGTGAACACCCTACAGATTAGGTATACACACACACACACACGCGTGCGGCGGCGTAGTGTTGTATCAGCACGCCGCCGCACGCGTCCACACTTGGAACACTTGGAACGTGTCCACACTTTATTTATTTATACGGAAATTTGGTCAAAAATTAAGTACCAATTTTTTTTACATAATTCGAATGAGAATTATGTACCGAGTATTCTCCTTAAATATTGATAGTAATTCACCAGTCACCCTGTATATGCATACATATCCCAATATGTAAATATTCTATATGTTTTTGAATAATATGTTTTTTACAGTGGAAGAAGATGAAGAGGAAGGTGATGAAATTTATAACAAAACCACAACAGCTATAAGTCAACCAGTCCCTGGACCAAGTAGGAACCCATCATCAGAACATCTTTTATATGGTATTGATAATCAGGGTTTAGATACAGATTTTAATTCAGTCTTTGAAAACATTCAAATAAAATCACCAAGTGCTAGTCTAATTTAATAAAGTTATGGGAATGAAAAGCTGGCATTCTATTATTTATTTATGAAAAGATTTTAAGTTATATCAATTATAATATAGATTTTAGTGTAATAATGTATGTTTAGTTATAAGTAGTACTGGCTTATATTCTAGAATCTAGATAACTAAATTCACTTCTAACAAAATGTTATAAGAATGTGATGGTTAGGTTTATAAAATATTTAGAGCTTTTGTACTTAAATATCTGTGAAATAAAATATTTTTGGTATTAATCGTTTATTTATGACTAAAATATAATATCTTCCTGATTTTCTGTGCTCCTGTTGACACTATCATGAGTTGTATGGGATAATGAAGTTGTATCAAGAGTTTCATCTTCCTCCTCTTCCCCATCTATTTCCATTTCAAAAACTCTCACTTTTCTATGACTTTTTGATAAAACAACAGCAACTTTTCTATTTCCCGAAACAGCTATGCGAAAACCATCCATCTTTTCTAGAACCTTGAACACTCCTGTTTCAATGAGTGGAGATAAATTCACTTTTAGTATTTTATCATTGAAAACCAATGATTTCGTTTTTATATTAAATTCAGTGGATTTTTCTATGATTATTTTAATCGGTACTTGAATAAATATTGCGCTATCGTTTATGCTGGGATGTTTAACTAATACTGATAAAAATTCGGAAGAATAAAATTGTAAATCTAAAATTTGTAACTTTTTGTCTTGCACATAATCACTGTCGCTAATTAGACATGAGGTGAAGATGAATTTACTTGCGATAGAGCTACAAACTTTCTCTTTTATACTAACAGCCATAAAACATATGGCTTCAGTAGAATTTTCTGTATCAATAAATGCTGTTAAAAACCTTTCCTCACTAGAATCAAACATTTGGGACACTTTAAACTGTTCGCTGGGTACATTATTTGGATTATCAAAACATTTGAGATTATAAAGAATAGAAAAATATTTTCCTACATCCTTGTCTTTGACATTAAATATTTTTCTCACAGCATTCTTTAGATAATTTTGTTGTTGTACAAGTGAGAACTTCTTAAAATCCATCATGGGAAATATTGTGTCATCATCTTTAAGTAGACATGAATTTTCTCTAAGGAATTTATGCCAAGGATTATCTTCATCATCTGGGAGAATTGTTAAGTTTTGATCTAATAAGTACTGGCCTAGCCTCTCTAAGTTAAATTTAACAGGTTTCTCTGATGAATGTTCACTTCCCTCTACTTGTACATTATCAAAATTATACAGGAATTCTGCTATATGTGTAAGTTCTTGTTGAGTTATTTTGACAATTTCACTTGAAGTTTGTTCATCCAGTAAGCGTACAATTACCACAAAGAGCCATCTGAAGAAAGCTTTGTAATTACGCATTGAGACATCAATAACTTGTTGTAATTCTAAGCATTTATTTAAAAATGCACAAGACGCTTTTATTGCCTCTGTTACCATTTTCTCCTCAAGACCAAGGACCTAAAAGAAATTTATATGATTTTTAACACATGAAAGTTAAGAAATATAATTCTATTTAATAATTATTATTAATGTACCTTATATCTGTCTGGTACTCTTGTTAAACCTCTCAACTCTGATAGATGATATGTTAAACTCTGCCCAACAATATTTAACTGTTTTAGAACTAGTTTTTGTATAGTAGAATAGCTTAATTCTACAGAATTCCCGAATTTTTTAAGCCCTTTGGCAGTTAGCTCTTGAAGCAAAAATAATTCCAATTCATCTGAAGGGACACCTGAAATTATAAAATAATATTATAAAACAAAGTATACAATAAAGCATAATAATAATAAAGAAAAGATAATTTTATTTTTGGTTAAAAATTATGTGGTCTAATTTTGGTTGACTAAAAAAAATTAGGCTTAAATTGGAAACTAATGTTAGTAAAATTATTGTTGAATAATTCTTGGATAAATTTTTATTTGCTAACAATCTGGTGTATTCATATAGATATTAGATATGACATGAGGACTAATTGTTTATATAAACACAAATAATTTACCTAACATAAGTAATTCCAGTAAATCGGCAGATACTCCTCCTTCCGGTACAGAAGAAGCATAATATGCCATTTTAGTGTCCATCTCTAACAAAATGTGCTCCCAAGCTTCTGTTATAGAAATCATAGTCTGATCTAGATGGGACAATAATTCCACAATCTGGCCATGCCTAGTTGCTACTACAAACATTTCTTCAGCAAAACCAGACAAAACACTTGTATTCACAACTGATAAATAAATGTTATTAGAGGTTTTTTCCAAATATAAAACTTGCATAACACTAAAATCATCTGACAATTTTATGTCCAGTATCTTGTATTCACCACATTCATCTTTTGTGATTTGTGATAAGTGTATAATTCCATATGGATATCTTCCAAAAACACTTAAATATATGCTACCACTACCAAATGCTATCATAAGCATGCTTAACTGTGTGTTGTCTACAGACTCTTTCAAAGTTTTTGTTGTATCTTCCGGAACTTGACTTTTATAACTTGTGCTTGGTGATGGGGCTTTTGGTAAAAATATTGAAGCATCATCCTTTAAACATCAACATTAAAGTTATTAAATAGACAAAACAAAAACATACATTTAAATATTTATCAAGCTATACTTACATATAAATTGTACTCTACAGCACTCTCCAAAGTTCCACTTTTTACAGTCCAAGAAATACAAGGGATCCCATAATCATTAGCTGAATATAATTCTTCTGTCATCTCACAAGCAAAGTCATATTTGTCTATAATCTCTTTATCTTCAATATCCACTATGCATACAGTGCCTGAACTGTACCCAATAGCCAATGCCTGAAATACATTTACACACTATAATTTAAGAGCTGTCCATAAGAAAAGTAAACAATCTTGAGAAATAAAACAATACATAGGAAAATAAAAATACCTTTTAAAAATACTAATTTATGGATTAAGGTAGCATATAATAAATTTGAATTGACAGAATGGATTTTATATTTGTGATTTGTTTATGATGTCAGTGTGAAAGTAGCTATAATTATTAATTCTACAAATGCCTTACCTTGCCATCAGGCCTCCAAGCCATTGCTTGAACAGTTACACCTTCTTTGGGTGGTGGCAAATTCCATACTTTTTGCCAGTGAAGTCTATGCACTTGTACTTCACCTATAACATACTGTATTTTAGAAAATAAAAATAAACAATAAAATACCAAAATTGTTCCATGATAATAGATACCTTTGAAATTGCTTAATGCTAATAAATCAAGCCGATTACTCCAAACCATAAGATCCACCTTATTTGCTACATGTTTCTCTTCCATTTGCCTCATGCCACAGTGAAACATTTTGGTAATATTTTAATTTAGTAACTGGGTAAAAAGAAGCTCACATATCACTTATTCTTGCAAAAAAAAAAAATTTTTAAATATAAATTAATGTTTACAACTCAAAATTCAAAAGAAATTTTATAATCTTAAATTAAAGAACTTCATTTCATTTGTATATTTTCATATACCCTAAATTAAATTCAATAAAGATTTTGGCATATAAAAATAAATATTTTAAATAATAGGTACTTTTAAAAAGCTATTTTAACCGTAAACCGAATTGACAGATTTGTCACATTCGATTAACTTTAATTTTTTTTATTGTAAATGTTTTACGGCTCTGGATACAAGCCCTTTTGAGCCTCATTTAATTTGTTATTGAATAATATGTTGTCATACCATCTAAAACGAGTAAATAATTATGTATAGCATTCGGTTGAATAGGCTGCCTTTTATTTTAAAAAGTTTCAATAACTGCTAAGTTTACCATTTTGTTATTTTATAAACTACTAGTTTTTGCCCGCGACTTCGTCCGCGTTAGTTTCGTCATTAGTAATATATGTATAGCTGACCAGGCGAACTCTATTCCGTCTTAGAGGCCATAAATAATCAGGTTTTTCCTGTTTCAATCAAACAGAATGATTGACATATTAGTTAGTTGTCAAATCTAATGTCAAAAAAAGCGTTTGTATGGGAAATAGAAAAGGGCTGTTTTTAGGGTTTTCCCGGCAATTATTAATTTCTCTCACCTTTTATACCTTCCCTGAACCTCCACGAACATTTCAAGACTAAGATAAGATAAATCCGTTCAACTCTTCTCGAGTTTTAGCGAGACTAAGGAACAGCAATCCATTTTTATATATATAGAAGATAAAACAAAAAGCCAATGTAACAACTTTCCATCACCTGCATGTATGATATATAATTATAAGTGGACAATAATCTTTACTTTGGATAAGTTCTGTCAGAAATAGCAAACACAGAAATAAAAATTCTAATAAATTTTAGAATTAAAAATACTTCACACGAGCGGTATGTGAACAGCCATCTCTGGAATATTGAGTTTGCCTCGTAATCAGGAATTTCGTACTAGTTTTTTATTTGTATTTTAATTCCAGTATTAAATCAGGTTAGGTTACTAAAAAGTTAAACCATAATTTTATAAAAATAACGCCTAATAATCTCGGGACTAATTAAAAATATGGACAAGTTCGTGTTTAAAAGTAATTTTAGTTTTTTGTTGTCAATACTAATGTCAATCAATGCTTACAGCTCAAAATTTTATAGTGTTACTTGTTTAGAGGACAAATAAAGAAGTTAATATCATTCTTTATTAAAATTTCTATTACATATAATGATTTATAAATTATAACCCATTCTCCACACATAACATAGGTAAATGTTTTACAATTGTTTAATACAAAATACATATGATATAGACACTTTTTCTACAAGGATATGCTTTAAGAAAAATAAATTAAAATATTTCAATAAAATTTATGTGAAAATATAAAACAAACATATTTATTCAAGTTCATAACAACAATTATATTTAAATATATACATTTTCTCCTCTCTTCTGTTATGGTCAGCTTAAATTAAATAAATCATTGAATATGTAAGAAAGACCATGATCTTCTATATATTTTGAAAAGGCACTCATATCAGAATTTTTCTTGGTGGAGTTTTGAAAAACAATTTCTTGAAAGTTGTTGAATTTTTGTTCTTTGATTCTAACAGAATTATCAAATGTTTCAGTTTTTCTTAAGACAATTTTCTTCCAATTCATGTTTTTGATTATTTTCCACCAATTAAAACAATTATCTTGAGAACCCTCAACACAAATAATGCCAGGTTTACCCGGCAAACAAAATCCATTCAAATCATAATCATGTGCAACATTTACAATTTCCTCTCTCTTTTTCCTGTTATAAATGTGATGTGAAAATATCCATAATCTAACAAATTTGTCTTCCATTTTATTTGTTATTTTTGATTCAGTTAGACTAGTGATTTCAGGTGTCTTATATTTGTACTTTCCTACATTATCTTGTAACCATGATATAGCTGTATACAAACATTGCTCTCCACAATGATTAATATTGATATAATTGGTTAAGTCGTTGTTTAATGAAGTTTCCTGTTGTCGATTAAACTGATTACATCTTATAAAAATGTCAGGCTCTTCTTTAGGATAGAAACTGGGTAAGTTGATAGAGATTTCGAATTTAAGATTTTCCACTACTAAATTGAGAGTGAAATCTAAATGATTTGGTGTGTACTGAGTTTTGTTATCAATAAAATCTTTTATATCTTCTAAAATAGATTTCCTAGTAAAGACAATGTCGCCATGGTCTGGATATATAGATGTAAGTACTTCTAGTTCACATATTTGTTGTTTCAAACAGTCAATTAAAGTTGATTCTAATGTTTCTTGAGATTCCATAACGAAAAATAGAGGGTTAAAATTAAGTATAAATCCCACCTACTTGAAAATGTTTCACTTTATAATATTACTCATCATTAAAATAAAAAATCATTACTAAGAAATATAGTTCTTCTTAATGTATTGATGAATATTTTCGACAATTGCAATGTGTTTTCTAGTACCTAATGCATTGATATTTGACAGCTGGAATGACATAATACAGTTAAGGCAAAGATACATTATTAAACTATGTCAGTTTGGATTGTTCTACGACGGATTTTTATAAAATATAGATACTTTTGTAAGTTTTTTTATCAGTTTCTTTATTTTGTTAGTAGAAAATACGTCTAAAAAGTACAGTGATGTTCATTAATTTTAGTTAAGAATAACAATAACTTCGAGTATTGAGGCGTTTTTTTTTTGCAAAATGAAAAAATATGAAAATAAATTTACATATATAAATATTCAATAATTGAAATATTAAATGATAACTGATTGATATTTATTAAACTTAGCTATATTATATATTTTTAGGATAATTGTTTAATCCTTGCCTTTACAATTAAAAAAAAAACAGCTGTCAGCTGTGTGTATGGAAAATGGTGATTATTGAATTGATGTGAATTGTAATAGAATAATACAGTACAAATTCACCGTCGTTTACAAGGTCAAACAATAGTTGCAAATTCTGTTTACCAAATACTCAGAATATAAATAAAAACATAATGGCTTCACCATTAGAACAATTCGTGAATAATGTAAGAATATCATCAGCATCAGGTAGAAATATATTATTATTATAAATTTTAAATTTCTTTTTAACTATAATCATGATCATACTGCGAATTGTTTCATTTGGCAGGAAATTTTCGTGAGCTTTACGAAATGATTGGAAAGTCGGAAGAAGTGTTGCAACGAAACACTGTACATTTAAATACAGTGCTAGAAACCCTTGATATACAACAACATTCACTCGGTATCCTAGCTGTGTTACTTGCAAAATTTTCATCACCACAGGTCAGTTATTTAAACCGAACTTGACGATAATTTTCTTTACATTACATGCTTAGAGATCTTTAAGAATCTAAACAATCTTCCATTCCAATTCAGGGTAATGATGTAGATAGATCTACTATGTACCAACAAATACACGATTTTATTACCAATTGCAATGGAGAGCAGGTTCGCTTTGGACCAGATTTATGTAAGGATACTTTACATAATTTTATTTCTTTTTTTTATACTCTTGGTTCTATAAAAAACTACATTACAGATGCTGATTTATGCCATCTCTTGACTGACTATCTCATAGAGCAAAAACAACCTATTCGAGGGATTGAAATACTCAAAAAAGCTATTAGAAAAATACAATTGTTTGACTCACAGTTAACATCTATTCATGCTGATTTGTGTCAGTTATGTCTACTGTCTAAGTGTATGAAGCCGGCACTGGAGTTTTTAGATACTGATGTTACTGGAATAGGATCTGAGGTAATAATTTATATATATTAAGTACTTCATAATATACTATAAATATTATACACTGCATAAGTACTTATGCTTTAAACCATCTACATGAATTAAGATAAGAGTGTCCTTTTTTTTGATTAATTTTGAAAGTTAATACTTGTCTAAATTTAAAATAGGTGTTTTTTTGTTATAAGTTTCTTAACAGCTTGTATTTCATACATTGACAAGCTTATGAGGAGATTTGAAGTACTCTTTGAAAGTATGTAGTAATTGGAAAACTCATATTTTGTATTTATTTAGGTTTATTATGCAAATCAGTATTTTTGTATAAGCTTTCCTTAATGTTACGAGTGAATTAATGAAAATAATTTTTATTACTGCCTAATTATTATTATTTTTATTTCAGCTGGGCGGTGTAAATGATTCTAAACATTTTTTACTCTACTACTATTATGGAGGAATGATATACACAGCTTTGAAAAATTATGATAGAGCCTTATATTTCTTTGAAGTAGTAGTTACCGTTCCATCAATGGTAGTGTCTCATATCATGCTGGAAGCTTATAAGAAATACATTTTGGTTTCTTTAATTTTACATGGGAAGGTAATATTTATAATCTTATATTTGTAATAATTTATAGTAATTAAACTATTTTTTTTAAGCTGCTGATAAAAATATTAAGGAACATAAATGGAATTACAGATACCCATATAATTAATTAACATGAGTTTTGTGCCAACATGTTATATAATATTTGTTAAACATGCATTCAGCTTTAGTAACATTCTTACACTTATTGTTATAATTTCAATGCTGGAATGCATGTACAAGCTGAATAATACAATCTGTTTCTTCCTTACAGATATTACCAACACCAAAATACACATCCCAAGTAGTATTTCGCTTCTTAAAACCACTATCTCTTGCTTATCTCGAATTAGCAACATCCCAACATGCTGCTTTGAAACACAGGGAAGTTTTTGTCAGAGACAAGAATATGGGATTAGTTAATCAGGTAATTTTTTATTGCTTAAGTATCTTTAGCTCAAATTTATATAATCATAATTCATAAGAAAGTATTTACCATTTATCATTCAATAACATAAGTAGATATTCTATTGTGCATAAGTCTGTGAATAACAAACTTAAATTTATTCATAATATAGAGTCCAATAATGCAGATTTTTAGTAAACATATAGTATTTTTTCCATGTATTTTTGTTTCTCTCATTATCAATTTTGATATTGATGTATAACATTTCAAAATTACTGTTAGTCTATGAAATGTTGAGCTTAAAATTTTGACATTATTCTTTGTATCATACACATTTCTTTAAATTGGGATTTAGAAATGAATATACAAATGTTATGTATACAAATACCTACATATTTAAGAAAATCAGTTACTCAGTAATATGATTAATATTCTATATTGTATTTTGTAAAAATTTCTTTTATTTATTGTTTTTAAAAAAAGCACTTGTATTTACAACTACTTATAGTTGAGAGGTTTTAACTAATGTTACAGGTCTTGAGTTCTATGTATAAGAAGAACATACAGAGACTGACAAAGACATTTTTAACTTTGTCCCTAAGTGATGTCGCATCACGTGTTCAGTTATCTGGACCTGCACAAGCTGAATCTTATGTACTCAATATGGTATGTATAATTAGGTAAAATATATGACAAACAAAACTAGTAACCCCTAAATAGTGCATATTAATCTGAAAATATTAGTTTTATTTACATGAAATTTGCAATTACTACTTACTATTAAGAAATCAACACAAAAATAACCTTTTAAACACAAAAAATGTTACAGCAATTGTATTATTTCTAAACAATTTTGTTTACTGCTATTCTTACACAATAATTTTGTTTATATTTGTGGAATGTGTTTCTATGTTTATAGTATAAACAATGGTCATCTATCTCGATATATAAAATGTAAGGTAATAATTGTAACTAATCATATCCCTGCAATACATTGCAGTGAGTATGTAAGATATTTCTTAAAGCATAGTACTTTTTCCTTATTCGATGCATTTCACACTAGAATAATGTTCTTGACCTTAAATTATTTTACATTTTGTGTGGCAGATAAGGAATTATTTTGTTATTATGTGCATGTTTCATATATGGTTTACAAATTATAATATACTTGTATTATATAACTCACATGGGGCAATTAAGCATGTTACTTTATAGTCTTGTTAATTGTTTTTTTATTTTATTTACTATACATTTCGAAATCGCTATTTTAGCAGTTATCTTTCATTTTTTGTATCAGATTTTTGTTTGCATATTTTTTGTAATGGGTGCAGTGAATGTGCAGGGAAGTTAAATATTAAAAGTAATTATTTTTATATATATAATGACTATAAATAGCCTAAGTATTTATTATCAATACGGCGGTGGTCTTAAATCAAAATTTAGTGATTTCCGAATTAATAATGTCACAAGATTATGACGTCATAATTTTAACTGAAACCTGGCTGCAACCGGGTATACATAGTTCAGAATTAATATACGATAGGTATCAAATATATAGATGCGATCGAGATTTGCATCAAACAATGAAAAAAGATGGTGGAGGTTTGTTAGTGGCTATTCGTAATAATATTATGTCCAACAGGTTTTCAAATTGGGAAAATCCTTGTGTTGAAGAAATTACAATTACTTTATACAATAAGAAAATAGGAGCCGTTTACATTCCAACTATCATTATTTAAAATAATTAGTCACTATCATTATTTCATGTACCGCGATCATACACAAATGCGGGATTACGCGCTCCACTACGTAAAATATGTCGCACTTATAATAACGAATTTTCTCCGGTTGATAATTTACCGTTTACGTCACAATTCAGCCGCGTTTCATAACAAATTGCGGAACATATTATTTGAAAAAAATAAACGACCTCGCAGTCCTGTTTTGCATTAACATTGTTTAAGAGTTTAGTTTAAACGCAAAATTTTCTCTGCACATTTACCATCACTCCCTTCACATCCTTAAATTAAGTTTATACACTTTATTTGTATACATCACTTTTACCAAGTGTATTAATTATTAGAAATGCGTGCCCAAGCGACCTCCCTTTTTAATTTTCTATATTTCTTAGTGAGAAATGTTTAAGGACTCAGGTATTATTTGTATTTTATTTACTGTTTTATTGTTCATATTTTTATAACATTCCTGTGCTCTGTTTTTTTCACCAATAAACTAAAAATAAAATAAGTCTTAGATTTTATTGTTCAAAGACAAATATTTAAAAAAAAATTATTATTCAAAATGTTAATCTTTCATTTCAGATTGAAGAAGGTGAAATCTATGCAATGATTAATCAAAAGGATGGAATGGTTGTATTTCTTGATAGTCCAGAGAAGTATGCGTCTCCGGAAACATTAAGTATTCTAGAACAACAAATGGCAGCATGCACTAAGTTGCATCAATACATTCAAGAAATGGACGAACAAATACAAATGAATCCACAAGTAAGACCTCAAACTTTATTGTATTTTAAGTGCCATTTTTAATAGTTCTAAAAGTTCAGTTGTCATATAAAATTTAATTTAAATAGCAGGTTTTTAGAAATTGCTTTAATATGAACCATTATTTTAAAAGAATTTCATATAATAGTTACTTTAATTATTTTCAGTATGTGAAAAAAGCGGTTGGAAGTCATGATGAAGATATGCCAGCCACAAGTCAGAAGTCAATAGCCATAAGCACTTATTCTATGTAACCTTTTATTTCAACAACCACATACTTATAAGATTAATGTCCAATAAACCTTTACATTGAAAAAACTTATATAATTTACAATAGCCCCATATAATTAATTTTCATTTTTTATATATTTATTATACAGCTTCATGGACAGATTCGGTAAATACTGTCATGCTCTCAATTGGAGTTTGTGGGGTTATTCCATGACCCAAATTTGCAATGTATCTGTGTTTACCAAATTTCTTTACCATATCTATAGTGAGTGTTTTTATTTCATCCTAAAAAGAAAGATAATTTAATAGATTTCCACTACTTTGTAACAAATATCTGAATATTGGAAGTTTTGCATAACTTTATTTCTGAATTATGCTAGTGAAAACAAACTTTCGACTTACTGGTCTTTTGTATAAGTCTTGTGGGTCTAAATTCCCTTGTAAAGTTATATTTTCGCCAACTATCTTCCTTGCCTCAATAGGGTCAACTGTCCAATCAAGCCCAATGGTTTCATATCCCAAGTCTGCCTGAATATCTAATGAGTGACCTCCTCCTTTCGCAAAAACTGTCTAAAAATTTAATTTGTTACAAAATAAATATATATAACAAACTGTTAAAGTACTAAAGTTAAGAACAGAAAAAATTTCCAAGCAAATTTGTAAATTTCATTACTAATTTCAAATGTAATAATACCATTGGTACTTGTTCTATGTTTTTTTCATTTAATATATTTTTCACACCACTTCTTATATCCTTAAGATATGGTGTTGAAAATTCAATGAACTGCTCTCTGGTCAAATGATCTGCACTGGATTCAAAAACTTGTAGTAATTGAGCTCCACTTTCAACCTGAAAATTAATTAAAAAATTCTTGGTCAGTTTGATTGTATTCTATTATTTTGTCTTGAAATGAATATTTTTTTTAACATACTAGGTATTAATAGTAGCAAAATTGTATAATATACAACTTTCATCTCCTAGGAATATAAGAAATGTGTCTGTTGTAGAAACATATGTACATATAGTAACAAATTAATTATTCATAGTATGAAATTCAAATTAACCTGCATCACCAAATAGTTGATTATAACTCTGGTCAGTAAAGCCAGCAGTCTATGGACATCTTTTGGGTATTTTTCCAACCAATCCTTAGTTTTACTCATGGTTTTGCTTCCCCCTCCTTCAATCATGTATCCCATTAGAGTGAACTGGTATTAAACAATAATTATATAAGAATAATACATAAAAAAATGTACTGAAATAATAATAGCTAATTAATTAATTATTGCATCATACTCACTGGTGCTCCTGTGAAACCAATTAATGGTACTTTTCCTTCAATTTTGTGTCTTGTTAATGTTATGGCATCTCCAACATAAGACAGTCTAGATACAGCACCTTCTTCTTTAAGGTTGTTTATTTCAGACACATCTTGAAGAGGGTTAGGAAAAACGGGACCCTACGCATATCATGATAATGTATGGTTAAAAAGTAATAAGTGGGAATGTATGTATTATAACAAACATAATTAGTGCTTACCTTGCCTGGATGCATTTCTACTGTCATTCCTAACGCTTGTGGAATAACAAGAATGTCGCTAAAGATGATTGAAGCATCCAAATGCTCAAAACGGCGCAAAGGTTGCAGTGTTACTTCACAAGCCAATTCAGGAGTACGGCAAACGGTGAAAAAATCATGTTTTGCCCGAACTGCTTGAAACTCTGGTAAATAACGACCGGCTTGACGCATAACCCACACTGGTACTTTATCGACCTCCTGACCTCTTGCTGCTCTTAATAATCTATCATTTTTTAATAAAGGGAATTGCTGCAAAAATAATATATAGTCAAATTTTGAAATATATTTCTTTTTAGATAAATATGAACTTACTTTGTTACTAAAATCCATTTTTATGAAGAAATGCGAATTCTGTTTAACTTTTAAATCATTCAGTTAACCTATAATAATATTAGATTAATGTTTTAATTATGAATTTTATTCGTTCCAATATAAGTGTGCTATATTCAGAGAATATGACGTATAAAATGAAAGTAATTGTTTAAGAAATTAATTTATTGTGAAATATCAAATAACCGGTCAGCTGGGCAGTCAACACAGACGTCAAAGTCAAAAATAAAGTTGTCAAATAGTTAACGTTCAAAAATAATAGAATGTTTTAATAAAACACATAAATTATTGTATAACAGTTACAAAAAAAAATAGATAAACATAAAAATACTTATTTATATAAAATTTAAATATATGAAGTAGTATATATTTCTAACGTTAAATATATAACACTGCACTGCACAGTCGTATTTTTACGTTTCGTTAAAATCATAAGAAGGAATTCACGAATTTCGTTCAAATCGTAAGAAGGAATTTTAATGATTTGAGTTACTTCAGACTAAAGTTACATACTAGTTCAATTTTATAGTAAATATTTAACAATCTATCTAACTTACTTATTAAAGGGGAAGAAGAATAAGTCAGTCCTTTTGGGGTTTTAATTTCTTCTCATCTAAACTTTGCTTTTATCTCTTTTATATCTCTTGTCTTAGTCATTGACCGATTTTTTGACTTTTAATATCTACATATTCATTCTAGATATAAAACAATGTCTTCCATAGCTTCGGTTCTGTTTTTTTTATTTAGCAATTATCGATCTACTTTACAAAATATTCAAAGTCAAACGACTCCAGAGGAACCAAATTAAAGCAGATTATCGGATTTTTATTTATCGATTTTAATTAATTTATTGATAAATTGATATAAAATATAAATAAATTTATTTAATAAAGATTAAAAGTATTTAACACTAAGAATAAGAAAAAAAAGTTTAATTTCTTTTATGATATACATTAGTTTTAATAGAAACAAAAGAATATGTACTTATTTTATTTTTCTAAAGGTATAAGGTTGTGACAGGGGTGGTTTGATAGAAGTATAAAGGAAAACTTTTTGAATATACGAATTGGAAAGTTTAAAAATATTTAACGGAGTAAAATTGGTAAAATATAAATTCTGAGATCTGATATTTTCGCGAGTTTTATTCATTGTAATAAAACTAATATTTTGCTGACATACTATACGCGACTTTATTTTTGATAAAAATTACACACTCCCGACGTTTCGGCTACTTTACAGCAACCGTGATCACCGGCAGACGAGATGTGAGTGTCTGTCAGTTGGTCTTGATATTTTATCGCTTATCGCCATCGATTTCTTAATTTTCTGGCTCTCCGCAAAATATTAGTTTCATTTCAACAAATAAGACTCGCGAAAATCTTAGATCTCATCACGTGGACCACTTTTGATTGGGACTGTAATATAATGACCTAACCAATTATGTGTTCTGTTGAAACAACTTCAAATGTATTATTCAACTTGGACTTGTTCAAATATTATATTCCAATAATTTTTATAAAGTATGCAATTTCAAGTGGCCGAAAGATAATCTAATAAAAGAATAAAAAAAAACTCCAATAGGGATGTTAAATATACAAAGTTTGCGAGAGGACTTCTACCTGCTGTCGCATTTCTATCAAAATGTATAAAAAAAACAGAAATGAGAGGGGTCCACTATAGTTTTTGTTGGAGCGACACACTACGACCTATCGCTTTATATTTTTTGTATCCAACCTTTATCCCACTTGCCTAATAAAGTTTATTCGCGTGAGACGAAAACTGTTGTAACTTTTTAAAACTTCCTTGGATATATATTTTAAATCTGTCATATTTTTAACATACAGGTATGCAAAGGAATTTGAAATCTGTTCCAAAATAAAATATTATTTTGCCTATACTAACAAAATAATACTTTACAAAATATGAATGGAGAAATTTAAATATTGTTTTCTCGAAAAATGTTAAGGAGCTTTGTTGTTCTTTAGACAATTCAGATATCATATACAACAAGTTGCATTCGTGTGATACTGAATAAAATATTGCATACAAGTGAATAGGACATCACAGGTGCCGTTGTGACTTGTGCATTCTTTGTCTCCGTGGGATCCAAGGTTTAATCATCATAATGCTATTTTATGCTTTACACGAAATATGAAAAATTTGAGGCTTTGTTACAAAATATCCGATTTAAATAAAAGATAAACATTCAGATGACATAAACAGTGTTTATAGTTTTGTAACGTTTGTTATATACATTTGTTTCTTTTATACATATGTAATTGCATTACATTTTCATACTTATAAGACGAATCATATTATGTTTGAAAAGGATTCCTAAGACTGAAAGTGGTTCTACGCGTTTGACTAAATAATATTGTTGTCTTTTTGACCAACAGTTAAATCCATACGTAAATAAAATTTTCTTTATGCAAAAAAGTAATTGTTGCAAAGGGTTTATTTTTTTTCTAAGTTTATAATTTTGTGTAGCTCAAAACCACATAATGATATCGAAAATTCATTTTAGCTGTTTTAATTTGATATTAATATTTATTCGCCCTGGATGTAAATGAGAGAAACTGAAGGTCAGAATAAACACTTGAATTTTTTATTCTTTCTCTGTAATTATAGTACACTTTTCCAAAGTCCAGTTGAATTCAGTTCAGGACTAACATATCCTGTATTGTGAGTAATTTTAAACAAGAAATTTTATATAAATTGTAATAAAATCAGAACATAACTTTTAAGTTACAGTTTGTACCTAACTAAATCTTAGGTACTATTAATTTAGTTTTCTAATAAATATTTTTGAATAATTATATATTATTTCATAAAAACTTCCATGTTATTAATTAAGACGGACAGTAGTGTGGGAATATTTCTTTTGTTCCAAATTGGAAAAGAAACAATATATTACACGCTATAATTTAGACAGGCCCGTTAGGTCTGCAAAAACTTTGGAACTTTTTTTATATATAAAGGATGAAGGTTCACATATCTGCGATTATTTTTTTGAACGTTTTTTGTAGCGTTATCAAAGGTCGGTGAGCCCAGTAGGGGATTTATAGAAAATAAGATTAGACAAAACTTTTTCATATTAAAACTAAAAATTTTGCAAAGTCATCATTATCAGGTAACGATATCAAAAGTTGAATCGCAAAATGCATAATGCGTAATAAATATCAATGTTTTTTTTTTATATTACTTACTTTTATTTTAAATAGATTCCTTAAAAATCGAACGAAAATCGATCTTAATTCCTTTTGCGAATTTTGGCAATAGGTATCTTTATACAAAATTACCTTAATTCGGTAGTTTTGAATATAGCAACGTTCTTTATTACTTGTGTATGTATGAATTATATTTAATTAAACCATTTTAAAATTATTTATTCAACCGTAAAGTCGGTTTGCGAATTGTTTTCGAGATTCATTGACCCTTGATTTTGTTCGTGAGATATAGTTTGGACTATAATAAGCATAAAAAGGTGTAACGAGAGTTAATTCATGATATATTATGTGCTTAATATACATTGCAGTGGACAAAGAAGGCTATGTTCAATACTCACTGTATCTCGTTAAGTACATATAGTTTTTTTTTTTTATCGTTTTAATGTTTTATATCTTGAAAGTCGTTAAGACATCTTTATGTATATTTTGCTTTGAGATTACAAAATTCTGAAATCACTGGTTCATTAAAATTCTCTTATTTTGGATAAACTTTTTATCTTATTCTCATTAACAATAGTTTTGTTCTTTTCCTATGATAATTGAAATTAAAGAAATTGGTCGATAGATATAAGGTAACCTCGTGACGAGGACTAATAGGAATACTTTTTAATTTCTAGGAACATCACGTTATTTATAACAATGCTAACAATCAGAAATTCTTAAATAAATTTGATAATATTTATAACATGGTAGACCTTATTTCGGAAGTGCAAGCAATAGCGAACAATTGTCACTAATGCAGGGCTCAATTTATTTACGAGACAACGGCTAGGGGCGCACTTGGTCAGAGTTATTTAATGACAGTGGAATAGACATTCCTTTTAAATATTTTACTTTCAGCTTTACATGACCAACATTTCTTATAGATTAGTTTTGCAAAAAGTATTACGATATTATAAAACATACATATTTGATGCGACATCTGATACTGTGATCGAACAATTGATCGCAAAAGATTACAATAGAGACATTAGCTTGTGGCTACGTGGTTTATTACTATTATTCGTATGTCGGTTCATCACCCTGAACAGTATTCTTGAAGGTTGTTTTTGTGTCGGAAGGTACGTTAAGGTGCCACTCCAAGGTTTTCCCTGTCGGCACGCAAGAGGAGGACATTGACTCAAACATTGTAAACAGTTCCTTATCTCCAGCTCGCTTCGTTGCACCGACGTTGTCGTTTGATGACTCGCTCGCAGCTTTTATCTAAAAGAATAATGTAGTTCAACTTAAAATACACCCTGGAGCCAAGACAGTAATTCACTTCAGACAGCAGACGGCAAAAACAGAAAGTTACAATACGTACAATACATACAATATATTGGAATATTAATATGTTTACAATTACATACTTTTATTGAAGATGGTATTGTTTTACTTTCCAAAATGGGATTGTATTTTATTTGGTTATAGTGATATTAAAATGTTTGTTGATGAACTGTCTTGTTCGAGATCAATCGTTTCATAAATTATCATTTTGCATAATTTATTTATTGGTCCGGAATATATTTTAACTGTTTCAAGTTTTATTTATTGTGAAAATTAAACATACATTTAATTTTAATAAGAATGTTAAATAATAATGAAAGTCAAATGTAATAAGGAAGCATGGCTATGAATCCCTGATTATGATCTGTAGAAAGGTGTGCATACTAGATAAAGTATAGCCGTTGATACGAGCGGTAATTTAGAAAGCAGTTTTTTTTGCCTCCACGGCCAGCTGCCCACCAATCAAAATGCATTTGCAGTTGGGGTTGCGTCCAATTTGACGAGTCACGACGGTGTGTTTTGGTCAAAAAATGAATCGGAACCGATCAATGAATGTCGACTGAATATTTAGCTGGCAATTATACGTTATAAACAGAAATGAGTTGTACCTATTAGAAATTCAGTTGCATGTTTGATTGATACTTTTAGATTAAATATTGTTTCTAATAAGAAGCATAGGAATATGTGATTGCAAATCCACTTTCCTAAGCCTTAAACTTATTATTTATTAACTAATAAAGCGGTGTATTTTATTTGATTGTATTCATTTTCTAAATATATTTGAAAAAACTTATTTTAAATATAGCTAAGTGTATCACATTACTGATACAAAAAAAAATTGAAATATTTTTTGAAACTGTTGTAATATGATTCAAGAGTACCACTATGACGTTTTATTATTAGTGTCAAGATTCTGGAAGAAAAATGCATATTAAAGGGTCTTAAATTATCGAGTATAATCAAACGGCGGGGCTTCGCGTAGGCGCGGCACGGCGCGGCTGCGCAGACGCATCTTTTTTACCTTTTTTGCTTTACCCTTGCTTATGTATGGCGATGCTCTTTATTTTCCCCCGCGCTTGCAGGTAAATAAAGACTCCTTTTTCTTATTTGTTTCGCTATCGATGGAATTTGAGCCTTTCTTGCATAGCCATGATACGCCATGTTAAATTTCGTTATAAAAAGGTATGTTCACACTTTTTATTACGTGACTAGAATATGTATATATATACCTATATATGTTTTTTTTGTTATCATCATTAATTATATCTACATGGATGACTAAAACTTTTAATACTTGTATTACATATTGATTGACTCTTCTGATCCTATGAAGTAAATTGACACGAAGAGAGTTATAATATATTTCGGGTTAAAATAGAGAAACTTTGTGTTATACACTCTACGTACTAATTTTTTTACAAAACAAATATGTACATATGTATAAAAATGCACGAGCACTTCGTTACTTTATTCTTTTTGTATTCCTACGCATAAAGCGAACAGACTCACGACTTGACTAAAAAAACTTAACATAATCAAATATCCTTTGCCTGCCGTCGTCCGCGTAAACTCTCATGCCGAACTTCACGACCCGATTTCCTGTACGAAGGATATAGTCCTATAAGATTCTAAGTTGTATAACAAGGAAACAACCAGTGTGTATGGGCTCGGAATTCGGGTTCGGGGTGAATACCCTCGTGTCAGTAAAAACTATTTTCAAGGTTAGCACGGGTAAGGAGGGGAGTGCCGGGTAGTGAGGTGCAGGGCGAATTAGGAGAGGGGTGAGGCGGGGGGAGCAGAGACCGCCGAAATACTGATAGCCTCCGCCCCGCGGCCTCAGCCCTCCGCTGTGCCTTGATGCAACTCTCCCATGCGTTTTGCGACTCGAAACTTATTATGTACACATTTCAGTATCTATAGGGTTCTAAAGATAAGGTTCACTTAAGCCATACAAGAGATGCTTTATCTCATTTTGTATTTTGAAGTAAGTGTAAAAAAGTATTTTATTTTCCATACAATTAAATCAGATATGAAATGTATATGAATAAACAAAATGATTAGATGGATTTTATAGCGTATGTTAATTCTTTGGCAATTTTTGCGTTATCGGTGTTCTGACGTTATTTAGGAAGACCATAGTAGAATGTGAAGTCAGCGGGTGCGAGTAAAACCATTCTCCCCTTCGTGTAATTCGGCATTAGTCGTGTGCAGTCGGCTTTTTACCTTAATGAGCTTTTCCTGCTACCTTCTTCCATACACGCAATCAACAAAAATTTTTGTGCAGCAATCCGCTATAAATACTCATAAAAGTTCTATAATAGACTTCTAACCACGGGTTAGTACGAATACCTACAAGGTTTAAAATTTAATTGTAGACATATGCTATATGTGTATACATTAATTATCTTAATTTGCAAAAGAAACTTCTTAAAAACTCGATATTCGATATTAATTATTCTAAGCCCATGTGTTTACAAGCAGTCAAATCCAACGTACAAAGAATTTTTGTACTGTGTAGTAAAAAAGTGATTCATAATTCCCATAGCATACGAGCAGATATCTTATTATATATGTATACCTTAAAGAGATTAGAAGAGCCCCTTTTAATCTTTTTGATATATAACGTTAAAGTCTTAAAGAAAAAATAGTAGCCACTCAATTGCTGGTTTTATATACATTAAGATTCATATTTATTGAGTATTATGTTATATCAATATGCTTAATGATATTTTCGGCATTAATTTCATTAGAGAATAAAATTGGTTGTCTTGGTGTTCAGGTGCTGTCAGAATATTTTTTTTTCTAATTAGTTGGAAGATTGTTTAAAATATGTTATGTCTTAATTTTTTTAGATATGTTTACCATTGCCTGCAACAATTTTCTTAATAAGACATAAGCACTAAGTAGTATTTTTGAAGAGGTCATCGTTTGTAAACCATACTTTAACAGCTTGATTGTTAAGAAATTAGAGTGAACTTTGTCTTTTGGATTTACGCCAAACAGAATATTATATTGAACATTCGCAAGCTGTAAGTAATCGAAATAATAATTAACTTTCAATTTCTGAGGGAATGGTAATGAATTTGACCGCCGCATACATAACAATTAAGTGGGCACTGGGATGGTGCGTGCAGTGGGTGCGTGCGATAGCCATCTCCGCCCGCACCCCTCTGCCCAAAACAACATTCTAAGTATTTGTGAGCGGAGGGTTTTTTGCGCGAAGCCCAAGGGTGGAGCGCGATCGCCCGACAAAAAATACTATTAAATAACTCAACAGGACCGCGGGGCGGTTTGTGCGTGATCGTGATCCAGACGAATTAACGCGGCGACAATGCTTCAGCTACTTTTCTTCGAGTATTTCTACACTGTTTTTGTTAGCGTGAGCTTAGAGATTTAATCTTTAATAAGATTTTTTCCACTTAATTCCTTAGAATGTACTTTTATAATGCAACTCTGTTATGTTTACTTAAATAAATTATGTGAATATCAATTATCCAAACATATTCAAGAGCTTATTAGTTCTACATTTGTGGAGGTTGTGATTCTTTATGGTAAATATTTAGGAGTTTTAAAAATATGAATACGACTCTGCTTTAACCTGTCCAGACAAAAAAGATGATAAAAACTCGCTATGCAGTAGAGATGAGATTTCCCGCCAACTCGAGTTAGATTTGCCTTTCTTATTTGAAACAGTTCATTCTATACATACAAGAATTGCTCGTTTAAATATATAAGATATAGTATTTCATGACCATAAACATATGTAACACAGAAACAAGACATAAACATATAAGACATTTAGTTTTGTACCAACACATTCTACATATTTATTATTTGTTTTTATCTATGCTTCACTTCTGATCCTGAGGGATTTTTTCCATAAAAAGTAACCTTTGTTACTCCAGCTATGTATAACATATAAAAGTAAAAATACATATAAACTTCATGTAAATCGAATGATAGGTATTCTTGATTGAATTACAAATATGAAAACTTTCGTATTTATAATATTTTTTGGGTAAATTACAAAAAAAATATACTCAGTACAAAAAAAACGTAATTAGTACAGATTCGTAACATCTTCGGTTCCAGTGTCTTAAGTCTTAAAATGATCCAATACAAACTATTAATATCTAATATTAATTTTTAATATTTTCGTTTAAGTCATAGCTGACAAAACTCCCTGTTAATTACTTCAAGTTTTATTGGTAACACATGGCTGGCTGTGGAGATGAACCGTCTTCGTTTCAGCACTACTGTTTAACTGTTTGTTCAGTGGTGGGTTAATATTATAGTTTATAGGTTAGCTCTAAATATAGGTAAGTAAATATCTCAAGTACCATCGGTCTCAGCTTCTGGTAGGTCTTGTCTAAACTTTGTCTTGTAAATAATATGTATGTTCTCAACTGGTACATAATGGCTTTAATTTGCAATGGGTTAAAGAAGTTTTTGTTAACTTTACGTTCATTCTATATATTTTCTTTCACAACCTCATTATGTATTTATTAACTGTTTTTAGTGTTTGGATCTATTCGAGATTGTTGTTAATAGTCCAATATAAATTGTGTTCACATCATACAAAGGAGTTTAATATATAATATTTTATTGAAACTTAATATCATTGTTCTAGATGTTAGTTGTTTAATAATCATAGGTTCTACATAGTTAGCATAAAACACCTAGTTTTCAGATGCCTGTCAATTACTTCTTTTATTTTTAGTCCACCGTAATGATTTAATACAATAATATATAAAAGAATGAACATCACACCTTTGGAGGCAAATTAATGAAACTATATTAAAATCTGTTGTTTTACTGACACTACTATTAACAGAGACAGAAAGGAATAGACTTAACAGACGATTAGTGATTAATGATCAAACAGAACCAAAAATTTGCTAAATATATTTTTGAGAACAAATGTACGTATAATTGATTGATTTATGGATTTGGAACCATTACTTTGACACGGCTTGTTACAGAGGCGATGATAGAATTCCACCCAAACCTCATGTGTTTTAGGTTATCTCTTTTTGGCAATGCTAAATGATATTCTATTAACTAATGATATTTTTAAGTTAATGATATTTCAGTTACTAAAAGTGCTTTTGAGAACCAAAAACCTTCCCTTTAATTATGTTATCATTTTGTTAGTTGACAGATGTTATAATTATCTGTGGTATCATTAAGTAATTATTTCGTTATTTAATCTGTATCATAGGAAAGAATGAATGCCTGGGGGTATAAATGGTTCTTTACTGTTGTTTTTTTTTTATTAAATATGAATAAGAGTTAAAGCGTTTTAAATGTGATTACGTTGTGATTTCGCGTAGTGACCTTTCGTGTATTTCGTCGGCAAATCGCGCGAATGTATTGATTATTCTTATCTTATCGCTATCGCTGGCATGTCGTGCGGTCACTCTCGTAAATGGGAACCGAACTCACGCACCTACCTAATACTGGATACGAGTTCTTACCCACTAAGCGCATGCGCTATCTATCCTACAGCATTGGATGTCGCCAACTCCGCCTCCGAATTAATAATTCCAACTTCGCAAGTTGTATCATACTTATTCACAACTGTTTACTGCACACAATGTATTAACATAAAGAATAGAAAGTTTTTTCGCCTGGTAACGGAGCGGCCGCGTTTATTTGAAATGTTGAATATATGTAGCGGTCAAGTTATTAGCATACTGTAACTTTATCTGTGCTAAAGAAAGCAGATTCGGGGCCTAATTAATGTTTTTATATAGCACCAATGTTCTTGGACAGAATTTATTTTAATATATATGTATCCGTTGGCATGTGAAAGCATTTATTTAAACTAGTTTGTGGCACATTCCACCTGCTATATAATCCGCGTTGTTTCGCAACTGTACATACGATCTATGTCATGGTGTCGGAGCGAGACGGAGCAATAGTTGTCGGTCTGGTTGGAGCAGGATGCAAGATGCTGATCGGAGTCCGCAAGAGGACGGAGGGGAATGGCGCTCAGTACCTACTTCGTTATCTGTTCGCGAATATTCTTGCGCAACGTACACCATGTAAAATAAGTTTCTATTAACAACGAAAACATGTTCGATATTGCAACACCCATGACCTAATTCAGTACCAATATCCTTAACGAGCTGTTTTATCAATCGGCTGGCGTTTGTTACAGTTATTTTTCCTATTTCACGTTTATTTTGTATTTTAGTAAATGTATTGTGGTTTACGTATCTGATAGGAGCACTGTAAGCGGCGGGATAAATATTCGTTTAATTTAGAATCAAGTAACATATTTAGGACTTTTTGTTTTGACAAAATTAATTTAGGTCACAAGACGTTAGTTGATAACCTTTCTAATGATTTATGATTGTTTAGTTCTTATATTTGATATACCTACACAATAGAGATATTCTTTCTAAGAAAACCAATCATTATTTATGGAAACCAGTATAAATGAACCGGATCAATAGGTACATATAGGTTTTTAGAATAATCTGACTCAAGAACGTACATCTAAAATGCATCAATGCACTTTGGATTATTTTACATTGATCCTTTTTGTATATATTTATTATTTGCATTAACTTATTTATTATTACTGGAAGATTCGCAGTTTTTGTAGCTACAGTCTATACATAAACAGCTACAATGTCAGTTTTTAGTAAAACATAACGAAATAGTTTAACAGAAGCGGCTGGATTCGCGCTCCATAAGTGCGCGGGCGCCGCTTCACCAACATGGCGGCCGCGTCCGAGTCAATGGCCTCCACGGCTTGCGCAACTCCACGCGAATCTCAACGACAAAACAAAGTCTCAGCTTTATATGTGTGTGTTTAATTTATGTATATGTGTTTTATTTGGGCCTGTGTTTGTTTTAAGCGTGTGTTTGTGAAGGGCTTCGACTTGTTGTCGACCTGTAATACTGATTAATTTTGTATCGCCGTCACACATATCAGTCGATGTTAAGGATTACTACTTGAATTTATATTTACTATAAATAGCTCCAATAGATTATTAGGAAGTCTAAGGAATGTATAAGAAATGTTATAAAAATATATTTATATACGCTTTTATATACATAATTATCATACAAGTGACCTGTTATATATACATGTTTATTATGGGAATAGAAAAAAAAACAATAATTGTGGCTAAATTGATATGGATGACCAGATCCTTAGATCGTCGAGTTAAACAAGTAGGTCAAAATAATATGGCAACAATCACTAATAGCATTGTAATAAAGTCGTTGTTGGCTCGAGTATGGCAACATTGTTAGCGCTGTCACGTGTACGATATCTGATGCAGAATTGATGATACCTACACTTAGTTTGACCATGAACACATGCGTTATACTTACAAAGAGAAAATATATAGATGCAAACGAAACGATCATATAAAACATATTAAAAATGTATATTACAAATAACTATGCCTTATTTAAGACTGTAAAGTTTTAGATTTCAGGAACTTACCCAGTATTTTCGTCAATCTGTTAGTCTAGCTATGGATGTCTTCAAAAAATAATCGAACTGTATGCTCGAATAAATCGAAGTTTAGGCAATACCACTGCAAAATAATAATTACAATAGATTTTATATAAGCAATATAAATTAAAAAATAAGCAAAATGGAATATATTAAGGGGTAAACAACAATATCAACCGGATGTCCTCATCGTGGGTTCGAAAAAAAAACATTAATTAACGTTATTCCATGGTTGCCTTTCAATTATACAAAAGTGGTTGCATGCGAATCGGAAGTGTTCCGAAGAGGTCGGCGGCGGCACGTGTAAGAGTTGCGCAACGGAACCTTGCGCGAATATCAAGCACAACATCATATGGACTATGTGGCCCTTATTACTATTTACAGAAGGGCTATAATATAGTTGACATTTCAGTCATCTGTAAATACTGTTGAAATACTTTAAGTCTGTCTCTAAGACGGGATTTTCAGTTCTTGAGGTATTATTAATGTAGGTATGAATCTGTTTTTCAATATTTAGGCACAGACTAGTTCATTTTCTTACTATACAGGTACATTTAAGAATAGTAAACAAAAAAGAAACAAAACAACAAAGTCACGTTAATTTAATATAATTTATTATTTACATAGCGAATCGAAGGGCCTCTTCAAGGCGTTGAAAGGTCGTGGAGACCTTCTCAACTGGTAACATTGATAACAGTTATGCAAATCGTGTTACCTGCACTATTCACAACACACTAAGACACTACTAGATTGGCCTTTAATAATTAATTTGTATGCTCCTTGAATAACAGCTTGTTAACACGATTTCCTGGTACACTATTCACAATGTAGGAAATTATTTGCCACGTCCCTCTATGATCGTTTATATAAAACAATTTTGTTGAAACAAATTCAGAAGATTGGGAGAGTTAATTTTTGAATAAATGAATTATTTTCTTATATATTATTATGCTTGTTTGCTTTATTCATTTTTTTTTATATAGAATTTTAAGAAAAATATAAAATAAATAGTTCCTATACATGTTCATTAAGTCGAACACTATAGATTTTTTTTAATGCTATACTGTTTTTGTTTACTTGCTATTTAACTAAATGTCTGGATCTTATTGGATACAATTTGGCTTTGATAGATCGAATTCGTAAAGTGTAATCATGTACCTAATTGCTATGTGTAATTTTTTCTTTTATTTTGATCTCATCTGTGGACATGTAGGCATTTATGTTTATAACTATAACTTATGAAATTGTTTTGATAACACAGGTATTAATTTTTTTTAACTCCAAGGTAATGTACCAAGTAATTTATCTAATCTGATTGCTATCCTTGTTTTTGAGGCAAAAATACAACAACTCAATGCTACGATAAACAAATTTTACCTACACTTTTGTGTAATTTTTTATTTTACACTTTTGTCTCCGAGTACAGATATATGAAAAAATAGGTATAATTTTATAAAAAGTACGTACGTTAGTTATCCCACCTTATATCACGTGTATTACGTATTTCTAGTAAAAGTAGATAAGTATAAAATCATACTATAACTTTTTATTCCGTCCATACATGAACGTCGAATATTCCAGAAACATATCAAAGATTTTAGCAGAGAAATGAGAGCAAATTAATTCATAGCTGCTACCGGCATCGGTTCAAGGAGAAGCCTGCGCAAAGGGCCGCCTCAGCGTCACGCGTTGCCATTGACCCACTTACACATAACAGCGTGTGCGCACTCTGCTAGTATACTCGCTCACTGAAAGCCCTTCGTAAAGCCGCTTGTCACGTATACACATTTATGTTCTTAAATATTTTATTGAATACAATATTTTATTGTAAGATGTCTACAAATTTGAACTATAAGGTTCTGACATACTAACGATATGGGCATATATCATGAAAAGTCAACAACAAAAGGTAAAATTAATCAAAGTATGTAACATTGTTATCCATGCACTTTTGCAATTTTATGAAAGGTCATTGAATACGTCTCTTAAAAAAGTTTCTGTATTGGGAAGAAAAAAGAGATCTAAGCGGTTTTGAGTTCGTTATCGGGATAATTTTTTTACTGCTCAAAGAAGGAGAAATGGATATTGTAGACAATGAAATCATAGCCATAATATAATAATCATCTGTCAGACGCTGCGGAAATCAAGAGTAGAAATGCTTGATGATTCACATGTGTCTTAATCTTCATGCAATGTTGAAAAATGTAGTATACGACACCAGCAATGATCCACCTAACACTGGCCAATGTCTTCTTCTATAGTGAGCCTCGCTAGGGATAGGATTAGATCAGTTCCCGTTAGCTCAACCACTAATGGTGGACATTGTTAAATGTTATTTCGTATTTGTGTTTTATTAGGAAACGATTTCAAAATATCTTTATATTCTGCCAGTTGTTCAATTCATATATCAAAAAAGAAATTTCCTTAACCATCTACGCCAACGTCCGAGACGTATGTTTTTGTGCTCAGTCTTCAAATTATATACCTTTACTCTCTCTCTCTCTTCCTTACTGTGTATCCCACATGGTGATGGGGTCAGTCTTCTTTATCTTTTTCCTCCACTTCGTTCTGTCTCTGACGTCGTCTTCCGAAACATTACATTTTCTCATGTCTGGCAGCAATACATTTATCCAGGTGGTCTTAAGACTTCCTCTAGGTCTCTTTCCGGAGACAGACAAATCCAGTAGGACTTTGTTGCCGACGTAATCAGGTGGCCTCCTTTTTACATGTCCATACTACCTCATCCTTTTTCCTTGCAGTCTATCGGCAAAGTCACGGACTCCCAGACTACATCGCACGTATTCATTACGGATCTTGTCCAGCGGTGTAACGCCTCACATCCATCTGAGTATCTTCATCTCTGCTACTTGGATGGTAAGGACATGCTCTGGTGTTAGAACCCAGGTTTCACTATAATCCCTTACTAAAGTTTCTCAAATCCAATCATCAATGCTTCGAACTGTTTGCAGTGCTGATGTCATGGCAGAACTCATATTCGTGCATAACGTGATGGTACAATATTTCCATGTTATTAACAGAAGGGTGTCAAAAGAATTTGTTAAAACAAATGATCTACTAAACCAACAAGCAATCCTAAAATTCAAAATACATTTGCATTTATACATTTATATTTATTTATTAGTAACGAAACGTCAGATTTATATGTAACAACTTGTTCATATTTTATTAAATTTTCCTTTCCCTTGATTAAGTTCAATAATTTTTTTTTGTATACCAAAAGGTTTGGCAACCCATTGTTTTGGTCATGGTAAGAATCTCCAAACCATAAAAAATATCGTTTTATACACTATAGGAAAGGTGGAGGGTACGCTCCAGCTTTGTTACATGCCACAAAATTGGGAAATTTTTGTTTAGTATAAGAAAACTATTGAATTTGAATGTAACAAATACTCCAAAAAGAACTTACATCGTTTAAAACGGAAATTAGTCGCTATATTTTCCACAAAAGTTTGTAGTATTGTCTTCAGGACATTAGACCACCACTAGGGATAAAAAATACACCAGTACAAAGACACTTTAATTTAGTATTTAAAATATATATGCTTGGCTGATTACGTGTATAGAATACAGGTAGTCCTCGAAACTCAAAGCATCAAAATTAACGATCTTTACTAAAACTTAACGATTTTTACTAAACTTTTCCGTCTTTAAGAAATTTCTTAACATAAATTTTTGTTATACAATGTACAGTTATAAGAAATAATAAAACATATCACACTATTTCTAACACGTAATCGTAACAACTTATGTGCGCGAGTGTTACATTTCAGCAGACCTCGTTGGCAGTTGTTTGTGGCGCATCTCAAGGCAACCGGCCCTCCGCCGCAAATAATTCTGCTATTGTGAAACACCTTATCGCGGTGGAACCTTGCTCGGATCATACGAATTACGGTCAAGTTGACGATTTTGTGATAATAATTTAAATGATAGTAATATAAACCTTTACCTAGGAATTTTTATTTTAAATGATAGTGAACATTTGAAACGATAAATTTTTGTTTATCATCGGTTCTCTTGATAATTTTATACATTTTTCTAGATGTTATAGGGCGTATGACCTCTGAAGTTATTATTTTTGTCTCATAATTCAGATATATAATCAGTGTCATAGCAATTAATCTATTTTAGTTTCTAAAAAGTTATTTATATTCAATAGAAACTTTTAAATATTTAAGTACTTGCAATTATTAGACGCAGCGTTAACAAGTACAGCAAAACAATATATAAACTCGATGATTATTTTTAAAGTAATAATAAGGACTATTGGTACACTTTGAAATAATGAAATCGAAATCTATTAGAACAATGAAATCAAACTAATTGGAGAGTCGACGATCCAATGGATTTATGAAATAAGTGTGTTTATCAGCCAATAGTAGATGCGTTATTCATAACAAGAGCAAGCATGTTATGCATTATCTCAAGAGGCATGCGGCGATAATAGTGTAGGGGGCGGCGTCAATGCACTCCGCAGCATGCTAGGTCAGTTCCCTGTGACTCAGCCACTAATGCACCGTTACGTACAAACGCATCGTGATCTTCCCTTTTATTATAAAGCTACATAACAATACTATAGATGGAATACAAGTCCGTTTGTTGCTTTCGATACAGTTCGAAAAGATCGAGGCAATTTAAAGCGGCAATGGTGATATGATGTTTATATAAATCCTTAATTTTCTTGTACCGAATAAATTTATTAGGAATTACTGGCAAGTTGATGCCTTTGCTCACAATTACATTATGCATTAAACCAGCACGTTACATGTTATATTAAAACTTTCAGTTTCTACAATACTTTACTCGTATTTTCATATTAGTACTTTCAATTGGGTAGATATTGAGTAGCACTCTTATAACTAATGCACTCTGATTTAAATATCATTGATTGTTGATTATGTAATCAGAACCCGGAACATCTGCTTGTTTGCTTCACTTTCTCAGTTCCCGAGGGCATGCAACCCTTCCGCGGACACCGGCCACCCTTGGACATAGATTTTTTTATCGTATACTAAATAAACTGCTTAATGAGAAATATCGGTTACGGAAACACTTCAATGAACATATCGTATTGTCAAATATTTGACCGTACCCACTGGTTGTTCAATTTAATGCAATGTTTACGTATACATGCACCCTAATAGATAGGTACGGTAATTTTCAGTTAAAATATGTTTCGTGAGAATTAATAGTTACTAAGTTGCGTGGAAACAAGTATCAGGTAAAGCTAAAAATATTAATAATGTTTAAGAAAATAGTTAGTAATTTCTAAATAATAAATTTGAGATGGTTATTTACTTTGAATAGGCCTATAAAGAAAAGTATTCATGTACGTTGAATATAAAATTTGATGGGCGATTAGTGGAGCAGATGGTAAAAAAGCTAGATAAATGGTAAATGAGCATGATATCGGACATGATCTGCAACTGTATGCGCCGGCGCAGCTTGAGCGGCTTGACCAATGGCGGACTAGCTTTGGAACGCATCAAATTAATTCATCGCAAGGCGAATTTAAATCATCCCTTTTATTATGGTAATTATTATACAAACAAATGTTACAAAGTTTACGATTGTACATATATGCAAAATGATTAATAGAGATCGGTAATTAAAGAAACAGTTTAGAATTGGATATAATTGTAAAATATTAAACTTATCTTATGCGTTCTGTCAATGTAATACTCTGAGAATAAACTTTTATATAGACGCTGAATAGACTTTCAGGAAGAGGTAATTAGTGAATCTCTTTATATAATTTCTGCTTTATGGTAATCATATTTATAAATCTCGAGTATAATTGCTAACCTACATCATATGCGGGGCGGAAACATTTTGTAGGGTTGCGATTTATTACGGACGCTACACGCCGCCAGCCTGTGACCCTTTGCTTTAATTGGCTACAAAATACTTGCCCTTAAAAAGTTAACGATAGCGGAAACTGTCAGCCTTTTATATCTGAATGTTACATTTGGATTCTAACTTTAACGACAACGTAAAAACAAAATATGGTTGTGTTATTTTTAATTCAATGTAGGTACATCGATTACGTTAAACATCTTTGACATTCTATATTTTATTCTTCACGATTTAGGATTTGAACACGAAACACATAAGTGCTTGTGCTATTTGCATTTTAAATACGATCAATATGACTATTATCGATGCATTAACTTCTATTTCTTGATTTGTGCATTTTTAAAGTGACATATGCCGCGATGTAGCTACGAAAACTTTAATACGTTAAGCAAAACCAGAATGATTGCATTATATCAACAATAAATCTAATGACACGATGCCGTCTATAAATATTATCGAGACAGGTAGAATTTTAAACTAATGACATATGAAATAGGGAAGTCATAAGTATTGTTATGTAGTTTATAGAATATAAACTTTATTCGTTGCTAATAAAGTATATTTTTAATAATGATGAAATTGCATTAATCTTTCGCTTTTTACGACGATTCTAAGGGATGAGGGGGCGGTGTAAAGCAAGAGGTCGCTCGCTGAAAGGGTTGTGTGGGAACGGAGGGCACCTGCGTCTGCACATGGTGCTCGCCACTGAGTTTTTATGCATTTGCGCAGACAGATCAGTAAAACGCAGTACCTACACATCTGTTATTGAGCGAAGCTAGAAAGACATGTCAAATAATAATAAATTTGTAACGATTTTAGATTATATTTTTCTTATTACGATAACCCATCGGCAAATGGTTAATTCCTTCTAAAAGTCT